ACCCAGAAATAAACTGGGAAAATCACCCAAGGAAACATGATGTCTAAAAATAAATTTTAACATGGATCAAGGAAGAATTTGTGAGTAATCCGCATTCAGGGTTGGAAAGCTTTATTAAAGGGAAAGCGTTAATATGAAGAACACTTAAGATGGCTTCTTAAAAGGTTCACTTATCTTTGAGAGCTGATAAGGTTTATAACTACTGGAAATCCTCAACTTAAATCTAGGACAGGTGAAAAAGTTAGCCTACCACATTTTTTACTTTTCCACATCACTTTGAGCATGCTTGTATTTTGCAATGACAGCTGGTTTGGTGAAGGAGGGTAATACTTTCCAAATAATACAGAAAGAGATAACTGAATTTTTATGGAGGAAGCCATAGCCAGGAAAAAGGAGGCAGGAGAAATATATGGACCAAAATGTGTTTCAGAAAGAAAACAGCTTTATTAGCAATTTCCTGGAGCAAAATTAGAAACGAATATACTCCCCCCCCCCAAAAAAAATTGAGGTGAATCTGCTGGATCCAGAGCCATCTGTTGACTGCGGTGGTGCATGACCAGTTGTGTATTGCATGAACACAATGCAAACCGGGCCTTTGTTGAGGAGCAACTTGACAGAGGAATTTAAAAGGCTGTCCAGCATTCAAGGAGGAATTAAACATACTAAACCAGTGTATATCTGCTGAGAAAAAATTAAATTCCCTGCTTGAGATGATCCGAAAATAATCTGAAAATAAGTCTGCATTAGGGGCATGGATTTTTTCTCCCAATTACTGTGATCACCCTCTAGAATAGTGTCTACTTTTTCAAGTCCCATATTTCAAAAACTAGAGTGGAAAATGGAAAGCATATAAAAGAGTAAGGACAAAATGATACGTGTGGTGGGTTGAAAACCACCTGTCTACACAGTATTTTTCAAACTCAGCAGCTCTTAAAATGCTTGGACTTCAATTCCCAGAATTTTCCAACCAACATGACTCGCTGGGGAATTTTGAGAATTGAAGTCCACACATCTTAAGAGTTCCTGAGTTTGAAAGACACTGCTCTAATAGCTGGAAGTTTTTTTACCACAGAAAAAGGGAAAAATAGGAAGATGTGTGAAGGGTTATAAAATTATCCCCAAAAATCCACATTTAAACTGCTAGTTTAGAAGAAAAGGATATTTTAAATGGAACCTCTGCAATATTGTTACTGTTGATCAAAAATCCTATGTGGATTGTAGACAGTTTAGCTGAGGTGTCTTTGGAATTTGAAGATTTAGCTACAGACAATTGATCTCTACCTATAGATGGTTTTCCTGTGAATTCTCTTTCTCAATAATCCTAAATATCAGGTAACAGAAAATAATGTTTTGTAGGTTCTTGGACTTCCTTAAACTTTGGAAAATATTATAGGGAAAATTTGTTTTGGAAAGAACAAGTGTAATGTTCACATTCAAAGTTGTTAACACCAACTGTCTGTGGAGATTTCCTTATCCCAAGAGCCAAAGGTAACCTCTATCTAAAATATATTATACCGGCCACTGTGAAGTACAACAGAATACATGTGGTCCTCACTTAATGATGCTAACTAGGAACAGAAACCATTGTTAAGCAACTCATTCATAAATTGAAAACCATGTGACTATGCCACTTAGTGTTACCTATTATGGCAGTCCCAGTTCCTGTTAAGTGAGGACTTCCTCTTTTACACTGGAATTGCTAGGAGACCCAATTTTTACATCAGTAGTAGATGTAGTAAAGAACTAAATGATGAATAAATGGCATAATTACCCTTTGCAGCAAAAAGAAAGAGAAAAGGAGGGAAAAGGAGGAAACTTTTGACAGTCTGACACTTAAAATGCTAGATCTGAAGCTTTGATGGCCTCTTAGCCATAGAGCAAGTATGATATGGGTAGTCCTTGAGTTACAACAATTCTTTTAGTGACCATTTGAAGTTACAAGGGCACTGAAAAAAGGGACTTGTGCCCATTTTTCACAGTTATGGCCATTGCAGCATCCCCCTGGACGCTTGGCAATTGAATCATATTTATGACAGTTGCAATGTCCTGGGGTCATGTGATCCCCTTTTGCGACCTTCTGACAAGCAAAGTCAATGGGGAAGCCAGATTCACTTAACAACCATGTTATTAACTTAACAACTGCAATGGTTCAATTAACAACAACGGTAAGAAACATCATAAAATGGGGCAATACTGACTTAAAAACTGTCTTGTTTAGCAATGGAATTTTAGCTGTCTGTTGAGAACTACCTGTATTTAAAGACAAACTTGAGACTGAAAGAAATAAAATTTTTTAAAATGATTGCGGTCATTCACCAGCAGAGGCTGAAGAAAAATCAGAAGAAAGGAGCAGGTTTAGCCACATGAGATGGTCAAAAAAGTCAAGATGGCGATCACAACAGTGTGACAAAAAGTCCACATATGGAACAGAAATATGTGGTTTCTGTGTGCAATACATTAAATATCTATCTATCTATCTATCTATCTATCTATCTATCTATCTATCTATCTAGGTAGTCCTTGACTTATGACACAGTTGAGACCAAAATTTCCATTGCTAAGCAATGCAGTTGTTAAATGAGTCACCCCAATTTCTCAACCTTTCTTTGTTAACCCAAAGGTGCTTTTTCCAAGAGGCAACTGGACTTTATGTTTTTGTTTGAATATATCTTTCCCTTCTCATCCAAGAAGCTTCTTCAGCTCAGACTGGATGGGGAGGAGGAGGTGAATGGAAGGATTTATAAATTCCCCACCATCCAGTCAGAGCTGAAGAAGCATAGTACATAAAATTATCTGCTACAGTATCCTACCTGTCAATGACTACTTCAGCTTCAACCACAACAATACACGAGCACACAATAGATACAAACTTAAGATAAACCGCTTCAAACTCGATTGCAGAAAATAAGACTTCAGCAACAGAGTGGTCAATGCCTGGAATGCACTACCTGACTCTGTGGTTTCTTTCCCCAAACCCCTAAAACTTTAACCTTAAACTGTCTACTGTTGACCTCACCCATTCCTAAGAGGTCTGTAAGGGGCGTGCATAAGTGCAGCAGTGTGCCTACCGTCCCTGTCTTAATATTCCTTTTTACTTACGCTTTTCATGTATTCAAATTATGTTTACACTTTTTACCTGAAATCTTATATATGCTTGACAAATAAATAAACTTAAACTTGAACTTCTTGGAACCAGAAAGTCCAGTTGCCTCTTGAAAGAAAAAGAAAAAAAAAGGCACCCTTGGGACAACCATCACCTTAATGACTGAGAGTCTCGTAGACATCTCTATTTGTTAAGCAAATCCTTGCAATTTTTAAATGGATCACTCCGCGGTTAAGCCAATCCAGCTGTCCTTATGGACTTTGCTTGGCTGAGTGTGGGGGGGGGTGGTCTGAGAGGGGGGGATCACGTGACTCGGAGACGTTGCAGCCATCCTAAATAATTCATACCGGTTGCCAGGCGCCCGGATTTTAATGACGTCACTGGGAGGCTATCGTGACGCGTAGCTGGACCGAGGGTCTTGCCTGACAGACACCCGGTGCAGGTAGGGTGCAGGGGACGCTTTAAGACTCCCGGGCAAGGAAGGAGGGAGAGGGAAGCTGACGGGGAGCCCGTGTCCTGTCCTGAAAGGCGGGTCGTAAGGATTTGCCCGCCTCCAGGCTGCTTGAGAGGCCCATGAAAGGCGGCGGCTTCGGTCTTCTTCCCCGGGCGGGCTTGGAACTCCTCTCGGTGGGAAAGGGACAAAGCCCTGACGCGCCTCTCCTCCTCCTTCGCCCCTTCAGGAGGACTGACGAGCCCGGCGGAGAAAGAAAGCGCCGCCCGAGAGGAGAGGAGAAACTCTGCCCACCTCAGGCGCGGCTTCCCTGGGAGGCGGCGGCGGGAAGAAAATCCCGGCCGCTCCGTGGCTGCAGAAGAGCCGCCCACAAACGGGATGAATCGGAGCCAAAGGGGGAGAATCGGGGAGAGGGAGGGAAAGGCGGGAAGAAGCGGAGCCCCCGAGATGGTCCCGGAGTGCGGAGAGTCCTTCAGCACAGACCGAAAACGCGGGAATCCCCAAAGAAGAATCATCTACCAGGGAGAAAAGAAACACGAATGTACAGAATGTGAAAAATCCTTCAAAACTAATCAGCAACTTCAAAACCACCTGAGAACCCACTCAGGAGAAAAACCGTATCAGTGCGAGGAATGTGGAAAGAGCTTCAGTGTGAGGGGAAATCTTTGTAGACATCAAATAATTCACACCGGAGAAAAACCATATCAGTGTGTGGAATGTGGAAAGAGCTTCAATCTGAGGAGAACTCTTGATAATCATCAAAGAATTCACACAGGAGAAAAGCCTTATAAATGTGTGGAATGTGGAAAGCGCTTCCGACACACCAGTGGTCTTTATATACATCAAAGAATCCACTCAGGAGAAAAGTCTTACAGATGCCTGGAGTGTGGAAAGAGTTTCAATGTGAGGGGAAATTTTTATAATCATCAAAGAATTCACACTGGAGAAAAACCCTACAAATGCATGGAGTGTGGAAAGAGCTTTACTCAGGGTGGACACCTCCGTGAACATCAGAGAATTCACACAGGAGAAAAACCCTACAAATGCCTGGAGTGTGGAAAGAGCTTTGCTCAGGATGGACACCTCCGCCAACATCAAAGAATTCACACAGGAGAAAAACCATATAAATGTCTGGAATGTGGAAAGAGTTTCAATCAGATGGATAGTCTTTATAGGCATCAAAGAATCCACTCAGGAGAAAAATCTTGCAAATGCCTGGAGTGTGGAAAGAGCTTCAATGTGAGTGGAAATTTTTATAATCATCAAAGAATTCACACTGGAGAAAAACCTTACAAATGCATGGAGTGTGGAAAGAGCTTTACTCATAGTGGATCCCTCCATCAACATCAAAGAATTCACACTGGAGAAAAACCTTACAAATGCCTGGAGTGTGGAAAGAGCTTTACTCAGGGTGGACACCTAGTAAACATCAAAGAATTCACATAGGGGAAAAACCCTAACAAATGCCTGGAGTGTGGAAAGAGCTTTACTCAGGGTGGACACCTCCGTGAACATCAAAGAATTCACACAGGAGAAAAACCATATAAATGTCTGGAATGTGGAAAGAGCTTTACTCAGGGTGGATACCTCCGTCAACATCAAAGAATTCACACAGGAGAAAAACCATATAAATGCCAGAATTGTGGAAAGAGCTTCAGTCAGATGGGCAGTTTTTATACACATCAAAGAATCCACTCAGCAGAAAAACCCTACAAATGCCTGGAGTGTGGAAAGAGATTCAATGTCAAGGGAAGTTTTTATAGACATCAAAGAATTCACACCGGAGAAAAACCCTACACATGCCTGGAGTGTGGAAAGAGCTTCAATGTGAGGGGAAATTTTAATAATCATCAAAGAATTCACACTGGAGAAAAACCCTACAGATGCCTGGAGTGTGGAAAGACCTTTACTCAAGTTGGAAACCTCCGTCTCCATCAAAGAATTCACACTGGAGAAAAACCCTATAAATGCCTGCAGTGTGGAAAGAGCTTTGCTCGGGATGGACACCTCCGTCAACATCAAAGAATTCACACAAGAGAAAAACTTTATAAATATCTGGAGTGTGGAAAGAGCTTCACTAACCGGAGAAATCTTTATAAACATCAAAGAAACCATTCAAATAGTTAAGAAAGTTAAATACTTGGGAATATACTTAATAGCAAGATGTGCAATGATAAAAGAAGACAATTATATAAAACTAGCTGGATACCCATTCTCCACTACAAAACTATGTGATCGGGCTTGATGAATCAACACTTACACCTTGAAAATTAATGAGTAGTTACGAATGGCCTCTCCTCTCCCCTTCTCTCCCTCAGGCTGGCCCCACTGATCCTCTCCTATCCCTTTCTCTCCCTCAGGCTGGCCCCATTGATCCTCTCCTATACCCTTCTCTCCCTCAGGCTTGCCCCACAGAGGCCTCTTCCTATCTTATCCCGTTCTCTCCCTCAGTCTAACTTCTTAGCATCAGAGCATTTTTCAGGTGGGGAGGGGAAGTAGAACGTCTAAACTCCCAGCCTGCAGGCCAGATCAGTCATTCACTGGCCTTGCCCCCGCCCAAGTGGCAGTTGGAACAGAGTTCTTTTCAGGTGGGGAGGGAGAGTAGACTGTCTAACTCCTTAGCATCATAGCGTGTTAATAATATAAGAAATACTAATGATCTGATGGTCATTTCGAAAAATCCTTTCTTAGCGAGCACCTAGAAGCCAAGAGAAACATATGTGCCAAATTTCAAGTTTATAGGCTTTATGGTTCTGGAGATTTCGTGATGATGCATGTGAGTGATATTTCGCTTTAATATATATAGATTACTTAAGCAAATAAAATTAGATTTGGAAAAATGGAAAAATCTACATCATTGCTGGGAAGAATTGCTACAGTAAAAATGAATATTCTACCAAAATTGCTTTTCCTGTTCCGAACAGCACCTATAAAAATTGAAAAGAAATTTTTTTCATGATTTGAATAAATTGATTTTGTTTTACTGCTGTTACATAAAAGGAACATTTTACTCTCTCCTTTATTCTTAAGGTTTGTTATTAGCAGTTTTGTTGTTCTGTATTACCTCATAGTTTAATTTGAATTATATTACAAATTATTAAGTATTTTGCATGATCACATTTTTCTTATAAACAAGTATATATAAACTTATAAACACAGCTTGCAAATTGTGCAAGGAATATGAGAGCAACAATATTCAATTGTACATTCTTATATAATCATTGAAATTTAATTCAGTCAATCAATCAGTGGTGCTATAGTTTAATATATTACTTAGTAAGGTGGGCCACAGTCAGTCTTTCCCTTTCAGTAGTAAGGGTTCATGCCGAAGCCAACCTTCAACAGCAACAGCCCCTTTATCTTCTCTTCCTGGCTCTGTAAATATACCCCAAGTATAAACTACTTGCATCTCAGCCTTTCCATCTTGGCTGGAATACATCTCTCCCAACACAGATGATGGGCAGCAAGCAGAGAAAGCCAGATGTATGCCACAGTATCCAAAGCTGCTTCCTCTCAGGTGTCGTCTCAGTGCCAAATGTAACCCCTCTCTTCAAAGTAGCTTTGTCATCCAGCTTTAGAGACCTTTTGTTAAATTTTACCAATACTGTTTTTAAGGCAAGAGGAGGGGGAATGTTTGAACACATAACATAAGGTAATCTTACTACCTGTAAATAATAATAATAATAATAATAATAATAATAATAATAATAATAATAATTTTATTTCTATACCGCCCTTCTCCCGAAGGACTCAGGGCGGTGTACAGCCAATTTAAAAACACAAGACACAACAATGATTAAAAATTAAAATAATTAAATAGATTTGGCTGGTTTAAAACCCCAAAAATTTAAAATACCCCAATTTAAAATTATTATATTGATAGCCCGGCCTGGCGGAACAACAGTGTCTTCAGTGCGCAGCGAAACACCCGGAGGTCGGTGATCTTACGTATTTCCGGGGGCAGTTCATTCCACAGGGCTGGGGCTCCCACAGAGAAGGCCCTCCCCCTGGGTGTCGCCAGCCGACATAACTTGGCTGATGGCACCCTGAGGAGACCCTCTCTGTGGGAGCGGACTGGTCGGTGGGAGACTATTGGTGGCAGAAGACGGTCTCAAAGGTACCCGGGTCCTATGCCATGGAGCGCTTTAAAGGTGGTAACCAACACCTTGAATTGACTTGTTGAATCACTTAGTAAGCAGGTAAATCTTATTTCATTCTTTGACAAAATCATTAAATTAGTGGACCAGCGAAATGCTGTGGATATAGTATACTTGGCTTTCAGTAAGGCATTTGACAAAGTAAACCACAGCCTACTACTTGATAACTTATAAAAATGTGGGTTAGACAGCATCAATGCCAGCTGGATTCATATCTTTCAGACAAACCACTCTCAACATTCAGTCCCTAGTGGAACTGTACCTATCTGGAGGAAAATAAGCAGTAGGGTTCCCCACAGTTCTGTCTTAGGCCCAGTACATTTCAACATCTTCATAAACAATTTAGATGGGATATAAGGAGAACTCATCAGATTTGCAGATGACACCAAGCTGGCAGCAAAAGCCAGCACTCCAAATATAGGCTCAGGAACCAGATGGATCTTGATAGTCTTGAACACTGGGCCCATGTAACAAATGAAATTCAATTGTGAGAAAAGTTAAGTTTTACCCAGACAAGAAAAAGGAAATGTACAAGTAAGGAGACCAATAGAAACCATGTCTTAGTGAATATATGCTGTATTCCATTGGAAAGGTACAATTAAGACATGTTATTAGCTTGGTTAATAAGCCACATCAAGGGAATTATGATAGAAACTAAGGCCTCCTTCAGAAGCCAGATTTTGACTAGATGAGGATGAAAGAAAAGTGTTAAAGTTAAGCAAACAAATAAATAAGGTATGTTAAAAAGAAAAAAACAGAAACTTTAGGGTGTTTCTGTGAGTTATTTTGAAAATGTGTGGAATGGAGGCCAAGAGGTGGAATTGAAAATAAAGTCCAACTTCTTGCTAATAACTCATAAATGAAGCCAGTCAGGACAGGATCTGTGTAAAATCTTCAAGAATCCAAACGGAGAATTGCTTATTGGAGCAAGACAAAAGAAACCAAAATCAAACTAGGTCCCGCAACCCAGAAATAAACTGGGAAAATCTCCCAAGAAATCATGTTGTTTAAAAATAAAATTTAACATGGATCAAGGAAGAACTTGTGAGTAATCTGCATTCAGGGTTGGAAAACTTTATTAAAGGCAAAGTGTTAATATGAAGAACACTCAACATGGCTTCTTAAAAGGTTCACTTATCTTTGAGAGCTGATAAGGTTTATAAGTATTGGGAATCCTCAACTTAAAAAGTAGGGCAGGAAAAAATGTTAGGCTACCATATTTTTTACTTTTCCACATTACTTTGACCATGCTTGTATTTTCAATGACAGCTGGTTTTGTGAAGGAGGGTAATACTTTCCAAATAATACAGAAAGAGAGAACTGAATTTTTATGGAGGAAGCCATAGCCAAGAAAAAGGAGGCAGGATAAATAAATGGACCAAAATGTGTTTCAGAAAGAAAACGACAACTTTATTTGTAATTTCCTGGAGCAAAAATAGAAACTAATAGAATCCATCCCCCCTCCTAAATTGAGAAGGAGAATCTGCTGGATCCAGAGCCATCTGTGGACTGCGGTGGTGCATGACCAGTTGTGTATTGCATGATCACAATGCTTTTTTTGAGGAGCAATGTGACAGAGGAATTAAAATGGCTGTCCAGAGTTCGAGGAAGATTTCAATTAAACACACCGAGCCAGTGTATATCTGCTGTGAAAAATTAAATTCCCTGCTTGAGATGATCCCAAAATAAATGAAAATAAGTCTGCATTAGGGGCATGGGTTTTTTCTCCCAATTACTGTGATTACCCTCCAGAATAGTGTCTACTTTTTCAAGTCCCATATTTCAAAAAATAGAGTGGAAAATGGAAAACATATTAAAGAGTAAGGACAAAATGATAAGTGTGGTGGGTTGATAACCACCTGTTTACACAGTATTTTTCAAACTCAACAACTCTTAAGATGCTTGGACTTCAACTCCCAGAATTCCCCTACCAGCATGACTCACTGGGGAATTTTGAGAATTGAAGTCCACACATCTTAAGAGTTCCTGGGTTTGAAAGACACTGCTCTAATAGCAGGAAGTTTTTTACCACAGAAAAAGGGAAAAATAGGAAGATGTGTGAAGGGTTATAAAATTATCCCAAAAAATCCACATTTAAACTGCTAGTATAGAGGAAAAGGATATTTTAAACAGAACCTCTGCAAGATTGTTACTGTTGATCAAAAACCTTATGTGGATTGTAGACAGTTTAACTGAGGAGTCTTTGGAATTTGAAGAATTAGCTAGACAATTGATCTCTACCTATAAATGTTTTTTCTGTGAATTCTCTTTTTCAATAATCCTAAATATCTGGTAACAAAAGAATTTTTTGCAAGTTCTTGGGCTTCCTTAAACTCTGGAATTTATTATAGGAAAATTTGTTTTGGAAAGAACAAGTGTAATGTTCACATTCAAGGTTGTTAGCACCAACTGTCTGTGGAGATTTCTTTATCCCAAGAGCCAAAGGTAACCTTTATCTAAAATATATTATACCGGCCACTGTGAAGTTCAACAGAATACATGTGGTCCTCACTTAATGATGCTAACTAGGAACAGAAACTCCATTGTTTAGCAACTCACTTATAAATTGAAAACCATGTGAGTATGCCACTTAGGGTTGCCTATTATGGCAGTCCCAGTTCCTGTTGTTAAGTGAGGACTGTACCAGTTATTAACAAAGGACCTTATGTGACCATAACTTCCAATTTCCTGCTGGCTTCCCCATTAATTTTGCTCGTTGGAAGCCTGACAATCCCATGACAATCGGATGTGAATCACAATCCCATGACAATCGGATGCTGCAATGGTCAGAAGTGTGAGCTGGTTGCTGAGTGCCTGAAACACAAATGTTGCTGCGTCAGATTTCCTGCTGGCTTCCCCATTGATTTTGCTTATTGGAAGCCAACAGGGAAAGCTGAAAATTATGATCATATGACAATTTGAAACTGACAGTCAGAAGTGTGGGCCGGTCACTGAGCTTCTGAAGCACAATTATGTGGCTGCAGAGGTACTGTATGGCCACAACTTTGAGGATCAGTCATAAATACCACTCCTTCAGTGCCATTGTCACTGCATGAGTGGTCATGAAGCAAGGACTACCTGTATAGCATAGCACCACTGAATTTTCTGAAGTATCTCAATGCAATGAAAGAGCATCAGATATCTTAATCTGAAATCAGATTCAAAATAGTTCAGGCTGAAGTGATGGAATAATTCTGCAGTAGATACTACTATAAAGATCTTATTGCTTTGGCTGGCAGTTCAAATATAGGTCCTTGGAGTGATTCTGAATCAACAAGGAGTATCCGTCAGAACAGCTATGCTAGGTGAATTCCAGCTAGGCAACTGGCATTTAGTCTGAACATGTATGAGAACATCTTCCCAGCCTCAGATATTTCTCCAGCCTCGCCTTGTAATTGTCTCATCTCAGCAGCAGCAGGCTGTAAGTGATGAGGCATGACATACAGGAAGGCAGGTGAGAACCTGGAGAAGTATCCAAGGACAATGTATAGATAAATGTTCTGATGTCAGTCACCCAAATTTGCAGTTTTGTAGTATGCTTCATGATCTTAGAAACCTGGAGTTAAAGAGATTAGAAATGTCATTTGTCAAAGAGTTTAAGCAGCTAGAGAGATTTCAAGCAGCTTTTGAGGTCACGGCTAGCTTAATATAACAAAGATAAGTTTCCAACCAGCCTGGTGGTATTTATCTCTGACGTGTTCACAATTAAAGAATGACTGCTCAACAACAACCAAAGGGAATATTCTTGACTTAATCCATGTTCCAGGCATGTTTTTTCTAATACATGCTTATTTCCAGCTAATTAGGTCTTTGCTTGAGTCTTCAGCCATGGTGTCTTACTGGTTAAATACCTGTTGAAGCTTTTCTTGATTTGATTGGTTGATTATTCGGATTTTGTCATCTGTTGGCTTTGCTTGATTGTCCTTTAGATGGATTTAGGGCTTCTGAAACTAAGAAGCAGTGAGCTCTTTGAACCAGGCATTTTGAGAAGAGAAAGTATATACTGTAGCTGCTAGAGATGGCAACATCTCCACTTGTGAGTTGACTGCTAAAATGAATGGAAAGAGACAGATAAGGCCAGTGCCTTCATAAGGCAGTGTTTTTTTCACCTGACCTATTGATAAATGTCAATGGAGATTCTCAGTCATCCAGGTCATGGTTGTCCCAAAGGTGCTTTGTCAAGAGGCCACTGGGCTTTTTGGTTTTTCTTTAAAGACGTTTCGCTTCTCATTCAAGAAGTTTCTTCAATGAGAGCTGAAGAAGCTTCTTGGATGAGAAGCGAAATATCTTCAAAGAAAAACCAGAAAGTCCAGTGGCGTTTTGAAAAAGCACCTTTGGGATGATCTATTGATAGTTTTTGCAATGTATGGCTGTGAAAGTTGGACCATAAGAAAGGCTGAGTGCCAAAGAATTGAGGCCTTTGAACTATGGTGCTGGAGAAGACTCCTGTGAGTCCCTTGGATTGCAAGGCGATCAAACCGGTCAGTCCTAAAGGAGATCAACCCTGACTGCTCTTTAGAAGGCCAGATCCTGAAGAGGAAACTCAAATACTTTGGCCACCTAATGAGAAGGAAGGACTCACTGGAGAAGAACCTAATGCTGGGAACGATTGAGGGCAAAAGAAGAAGGGGACAACAGAGAACGAGGCTCCTGGATGGAGTCACTGAAGCAGTCGGTGTGAGCTTAAATGGACTCCAGAGGATGGTAGAGGACAGGAAGGCCTGGAGGAACATTGTCCATGGGGTTACGATGGGTCGGACACGACTTCGCAACTAACAACAACAACAATTTATAGTTTATCTTTTTGTCCTTTTGTGTTTGAAGAGGTATAAGGGAATATCTTCTGTCTTTTTCTCTCACATGCTTCTCTCTCTTCAAGATGTAGTTTAGGAAGAAACAAGGCCTACCGTTTTACTTCAATATAATGAATGCCTAATAGAATTCACTGCTAGCTGGGCTAAGCCTATAAATCCATATTAGAACTGGGGTGACATGTTAGCAGTGTTCCAATATTTGAAGGGCTGCCCAAAGAAGAGGAGGTCAACTTATTTTCCAAAGCAGTAGAAAGCAAGACAAAAAAGCAATGGATGGAAACTAACCAAGGAGAAAAGCAACCTAGAACCAAGGAGAAATTTCTTGGCAGTGAGAGCAATCAACCAGTGGAACAGCTTGCCTTTAAAAGTTGTGGCTGCTCCATCACTGGAGGCTTTTAAGAAGACACCCATTTGTCCAGAATGGAATAGGGTCTCCTGCTTGGACAGGAGGTTGGATTAGAAGACCTCCAAGGTCCCAACTCTGATGTTCTATATTTTGCACCTGATCACTATGTTATGACTATTTTTATTTTTTCCAGTGGGATACTGTTTCTTAAATACTCAATATTTTTTCAATGTTCTACTTATCTTTCGGAACAGGTGTTCCATCCGGGGCTCTAGCTGAATTCAAAGCTTCAAACTTTAGAATCCATTATTCTGGGTCAAAAGTTGTTAACATGATTTGTAATCCTTGGTGTTTAAGAGATACATTCCTCAGTTCTGGAAGAAAGGTGAAAGCTCAAAACACTCCAGTATCTGATGCAGACAAATCAACTCAGAGATTGAGAATGATGGTCTCTTTTGAAGTCAGCTGGCTTTTCTTGAAGGGAGAAGTAACTGCAAGGTGCATGCACTTGCTTGAAACAGCCTGGGGAGTAAGAGATAAGTAAGAGAACATGAGTATTACTAACTGAAGTATGAAAGGTGTTTCTAGGTCTGCTTGTGCAACACAACCTGGGCATATTGCCAGACTCAATTAATTTAGCATGGGAAAAAATGAAATATATTGGGAGTAGAACTACTCAAGAGCATCTAATTTACTAGGACTAGGGGTTGCCACAAAGAAAAGGGAGTCAACCTATTTTCCAAAGCACTTGAAGGCAGGACAAGAAGCAACAGATGGAAACTAATCAAGGAGAAAAGCAACCTAGAACTAAGGAGAAATTTCCTGTCATTGAGAACTGTGGATTAGTGAAACAGCTTGCTTTCAGAAGTTGCAGATGCTCCATCACCGGAGGTTTTTAAGAAGAGATTGGGCAGCCATTTGTCTGAAATTGTAAGATCTTCTGCTTGAGCATGGGGTTGGACTAGAAGACCTCCAAGGTTCCTTCCAAGTATGTCATTCTGTTATTCAGCTTTAATTGGTAGCAACATATGGGCAATCTGATCTATGATTAAAACCTAAATATTGTAAAGTCAGGTCTAATTAGTACTTCAACCTGAGGCTGTCAGAGAAAACCATAGCTGTGGACTAAGTAGGAAGTAAATAACCCACATGCTGCAATAGGTCAATGCCAACACAAATTACCTCCATATTGTCACCCAGAAAATAACATGGATGAATCCATGAATCCACCAGGAATCAAGCTTAACTTGAAGGTATCTGAGAAGGTGGAAATCTTTAGTTTGACTTTGGCTGATATCGAAAGGCTGAATAGGGTTAGATATTTTGGACACTTTGATATGACACCATCAAGAAATTCCAGATCTGCAAACTAAAAAGGAAAGCTGAAAAAAATATCCCAGGAGGCCATAGCAAACCACCCCCGTTTGTGACATAGAGAAAACTACATGGACATGTCCATTAAGTCATTGAGGATCAAGATTCACTTGTGGGAGTCTTGACCTTCTTACTTTTCCCCTAAAAACAAAGCTCAGGCTGAAGAAAGACCATCATTGGATCTGCCGGTCATTACTTCTGCTATTTCAACATTGACTACCAATACCATAAAAATTTCTTTCTTTCTTTTCTTTTCTTTTTTTTTAGAAAAAGAGATAGGTACATGGCTTAGGAAAGACCAGCTGCTCAGAAGTGAGTCTTACAATCCAAGTAGTACTCTTAAGGACTGATGTCTTTTATAAGCCACAATGACATCAACATGGTGATACAGGAATCCTGATGTCATGCCATCAATGAAGTGATGATGTCCATCGCATCACTGGTTGTTAGAAGTGCATCAGTTGAGTCATTTGATCTCTGGGTCACCATTTGTCCCATTTATGGACACCAATGCTCTTGGCCCTGCTCCAGAAAACATTCCTCAACCCGTCCTTCCTTCTTTCACCCACAGATTGTCCTCTCACTCAAGCAGCACCTAAATGAGGTCATCTTTTTTTCTCCTTTGCTCCATTCTCTTGATGCTGGCCATATTTGTTAGCAAGGATTCTTTGGTGTCTTCTGAGTTGACCTTCCAAGCCATTGACCTGGCAGCAAAGAAAATCAGGAAAGCGATTAATAGATGGGAAGCAATCTATTAATCGCTATTAATCGAAGCAATCGCTATTGATCGGAAGCAATGAATACGGCAGCCATTCTTAATTTAGTGTCCTTCAAAGATGCTAGACCAGGGGTGTCAAACTCCGGCCTGCAGACCAGATGCACACGCCGACCCCCGGTTTAGCAAAAGGTGTGATACGTCACGTGATGACATGAGTTTGACACCCCTGTGCTAGACTGTTGCCACAATGGCCTGCCTGATAGTATTTATGTATTAAATTTATATGCTGCCCCTCTCCTTGATAGAGCAACTCTGGGCTGCTTACAGAAACTTCAGATTCCATAAGCGGTTTTGGATAGCCTTCACAGATGAAACAACAACAATCCCTTACAAATGTCAAGGACTTTGAAACAGAAGGTGATATAACCCAGATCTCCCCACCCAGGTACCTGTTTCCGAAGAGAAAAGATAATTTGTTCAAGTTCCTTCACTAAAGATCTGAGGTCTTCTGGGTTCAAAGGTGATTCCTCCACCCTAACAAGAAGTAAATAAAAGAAAGGCTAGAAGTTTGTTGAAGTGCATGGGTGTGTGTGTGTGTGTTTATGTGGGAGTTTCAGGTAAACTTAGGGGAGAGATAGCACTTAGCAATAGCACTTAGACTTATATACCACTTTACAGTACTTTACAGTCCTCTCTAAGCGGTTTACAGAGTCAGTCTGTTGCTCCCAACAATTTGGGTCCTCATTTTACCGACCTCGGAAGGCTGGAAGGCTGAGTCAACCTTGAGCATGGTGAGATTCGATCTGCCAAACTGCTGGCAGCCGGTGATCAGCAGAAGTAGCCTGCAGCAGTAGTGGGTTGCCCCCAGTTCAGACCCGTTCGCAAGAACTGGTAGTAAAACCGGCAGGAGGCTCTGCCCACTGACCCGGACATCAACAGAAAGTTTTCACACATGCACAGAAGCACGCATGTGCGGGCCTGTTGCAAACCAGTAGTAAAGGTAAGTAGAACCCATCCCTGGCCTGCAGTACTACACTCTAATCACTGCGCCACCACGGCTCTTGATCTTCCTTAGGGCAGCCAAATGAGTATTAGGTGGAAGCAAAGGGTTGAAAAAAATGCTAACCCCTTGCAATTTTAATCTTATTTTTAGATTTTTATCCCTTGTGTGTCTAATCACACTTGGTCAATAATTCTCTTCTATTCCTATTCTATTCTACCCACCTTTCTTATTTTTATAAATAGCTCAAGGCAGCCAACATTCATACTATTACTTCCTCATTCTATTTTCCCCACAAAAAACAACCTGTGAAGTGGGTTGGATTGAGAGAGAAGGATTGGCCCAAAGTCACCCAGCTGGCTTTGATGCCTAAGGTGGGACTAGAACTCACAGTCTCCTGGTTACTAGCCTGGTGCCTTAACTACTAAATCAATAACCACTAGACCAGGGGTCTCCAACCTTGGCAACTTTAAGACTTGTGGACTTCAACTCCCAGAAGTCCACTAGTCTTAAAGTTGCCAAGGTTGGAGACCCCTGTACTAAATCATACTGCAGTCATGTGGAATTTCTCAAACCACATCTAGTAGCCTTAGTCCAATGTTCTCAACTGGCTTCTTCATCTGACTGGGGAATTCTGGGAGTTGAAGTCCACACACAATGTAGCTGAAATTGCCTTAGCCCTTCTATGAATAAATCCAGAAATGCATTGATTGTGCAAAAAATATATAAAGGATGAGCTTTTAAAAAGAGTCCATTAAATCTTAGCTACATAAGTGTAAGAAGAAGAAGCTGAGAAATATACCTTGGTTCTCCTAAGGTGGCCTTGGATGGATTTTCTTCTGGATAGCTGAAGTTGGATGTTCTTTTGCTTCGGAACTGTTGCGAGAGAGCCCTTAGTTGACCCCTTGTGTTGCAATCTAGGGCAAGAAGAAAAATTTGACAACTTTTGAAAAACTCATAAATGCCCGTATCTGTCATCTTAGCTTTGTTCATTCTCCCTGCATGTAGAAGATATATAGGCGAACCAACTAAGTGGGTCTTATATAAAAGCATATATTCACTTCTCTTCCCCAAAAGGTAATCTCAGGTCAGCAACACCCCTTGACATTTTTTTACTGGACAAAACGCATAAGAAACGATCACAAATTTGATATTTGAAAGGACTACATCTAAACATCAACGGTGGAACATTTATGTTCTCCAAAACATTCTCTTATTTAGGATACTAGTGAGGCCACACTTGGAATACTACATCCATTTCTGGTCACCCTAATACAGTGATGGCTAACCTTTTTGTTGTTGCGTGCCGACAGCATGCGCGCCTGCACCCATAACGCAATGCACATGCGACCCCTCCACCCCCCGCCCCCCCCCCCACATGTGTCCATGCCTGCCCCCTGCCTCATACATGCATGCACGGACCCCCCATGCTCCCCCACCCCCCATTTATGTGCCTTCGCACATTTGCGGCAGAGACCCGAAAATCAGCTGGCCGGTGGGAGGCGCGCACGCATGCGCGGTGGAGCTGAGCTGGGCCAACGGCTCGCGTGCCACCAGAGAGGCTGCTGCTTGCCACCTCTGGCACACGTGCCATAGGTTCGCCATCAGGACCCTAATACGAAAAAAGAGACTCTAGAAAATGTGCAGAGAAGAGCAACAAAAATGATAAACATTCTGGAGGGCAGGACAAGAATGAACAGGTGGAAGATCGTAAAAGAGAGATGTTTCCTGACAGTGAAAACAATCAATCAGTGGGACAGCTTGCCTCCAGAACTGGAGGTTTTTTGAAGAACAGACTAGACAGCTGTTTCTCCAGACTGCTGTAGGGACTCCTGCTTGAGCAGGGGGTTGGACCGGAAGACCTCCAAGGTCCGTTCCAATTCTATTGTTCTATGTTCTGTTCAATTCTTGAAAAGAGATGCCTCAAAAATACCATTCTCTGGGAGATAGCTGAATTTCAATTCATCAGGAGATTCACCCCCATGAGTCCCAAAGAATGAAGTTTCTTAACATGCAGGTATCAACTTGTATTTTTATGCAAGGACTATATCACGCTACACCTGAAGGTCACTACAGGTGAATTCTCACTTCTTCTTTTATCATTCCCTTTCTCCACCTTTCAATAAAATTCTTTATGGATGGGTGTGTCTGTGGTTCATACACAACCAGACACACAGAGCCCCCACAGATTTTCCTTAGGATTATAGTCCAGGAATGTTCTCCCTAAGGCAATGGGGGTGAAGTGGGTGAAAGATGAAGGAGAAATTGATTATCAATCAATTTTTTTATTACAGTCACAGACCAGAGGTGATTATGAATGGGCACCATCTCCTAAGAAGGAAGATAAATGAACATGAAGATCATCCAGAAACAGCTGCTGGTTTGATGGAAATCAGACCTAAAACCCTAAATTATTCTTCTACTGCAACCGATGTTCACCACCACCTTCTAAAATTAGTTTAAAATAGAATTTTTGTAACTCAGGGTTGAGTTACAAACCAGGAATTGAATTGCACTCAGAAACACAATAGAAGAGAATATCTATAACTCAGGGTTCAACTGGTCTCTGAGCTTTGTTGTTTTTTTACAGACATTTCATTACCCAACTAAGCAACATCATCAGTGCTAGAAGAGTCTGTAACAGCCACTATGTAGGAGAGACACGCAAGGGACTAGCAGAATGCATCCATGAACACCAATTGGCCGTCCGAAGATGTGATGGAAGCTGAAAAACGAAGCAGAAAGACCAAAACACCTCCTCACCAGCAATCAACAGCCAGATAAGCAGAGATTAACACCAAGATACACCAACATTAGACCAACAATCAAGCAATAAACGATACCCCAATCAAAAAATTACCAGCAGAAATAATCAAACAGTAAACAACAGTCTAATCAAGGAACCACCAAGACAAAAACAGTATTCCCAAGAACACTGACAAGGTAAGTATATATACAGGGAGTAAACCCCAGCCCTTTCCAGCATTGATGATGTTACTTAGCTGGGTCATGAAACGCCTGCAAGAAAGCAATCAAACTCAGAGAGCACCAAGGATTCCACAATTCAACTCTGAGGAATAGATACAGGTAGTCCTCGACTTACAACAGTTCATTTAGGGATAGTTCAAAGTTACAACGGCACTGAAAAATGTGACTTATGACCGTTTTTCACACTTGCAACCATTGCGGCATCCCCAGGATCAAAAATTCAGATGCTTGCCATGTGGTTCTTATTTACGACAGTTTCAGTGTCACAGGATTATGTGATCAGCTTCTGCGACCTTCTGACAAGCAAAATCAATGGGGAATCGAGATTCACTTAACAACCGTGTGAACAACTTAACAACTCTGGCAAGAAAAGTTGTAAAATGGGGGCAAACTCACATGTTTCATTCAGCAACATAAATTTTGGGCTCAATTGTGGTCATAACTCGAGGATTACCTCTATTCTCCTTTATTGGGTTTGAGTGCAATTCCATTCTTGTTTTTTTCTTATAAAGTCCGTGGTTTAGCTACTATATATCATCAGGTCTTTCTTCTCCAGGTAGAAGCAGGCCATCTCTTCCATCCTCTGGATGAACATACATGAATTGTTTCCCACTTTTAAGAGATCAAGGAGAGGGCGGGCCCCAGAAACAGTGGATTTTGGTAACGGATCATTCTTTGTGTAACAATCTCTGCCCCCTGTATCCCTCAAGCTAACTGGGGAATAAAATGTCTGCAAGAAAGCAACCAAACTCAGAGAACACCAAGGAACCCACAGTCCTCCCCCTCCTCACAAACCCCACTCCCTTGCAGCCCTGATGATGTTACCTAGTTGGGTAATGAAAGGTCTACAAGAAAATAACCAAACTCAGAGAGCACCCAAGTCCCCACAAAATTAGTTTAAAAAAAAAAAAAAGGTTTTAGCTTGATAAGAGTGTCTTCTAAATGGGGAAAGGCGCTTTTTTGACCTATTCCAGCAAAGCGTCACCTTGCTGGGATTTCTTCACCTTCGCAGCAGTCTTTCCACAAGCGCAGATCCACCTGGGGAATTTCACTGCAGTCCACCATGCCTTGAGGGTAGGAGGCCACCTGGAAGACGTCCCTCTGGAGCTGCTGGATGTGGTCGCTGTTGTCACAGATGATGCGGGCCAGGGACCCTTGCTTGATTTGGGTGAGCTGGGCTGAAGTGAACACACCTGGGTTTTCATACCAAAACCTAATAGAGAGAAGCAAAAAGGTGAGGATATGGAACATCTGGAGAACTCAAAGAGGGAGATTTAATTATGGTCTTAAAGGAACGTCGTTTTTCCTCTCTCTAGCTGTGTCCCAAAGGTGCTTTTTTCAAGGGGCAACTGGACTTTCTGGTTTTTCTTTGAAGACGTTTCACTTCTCATCCAAGAAGCTTCTTCAGCTCTCACTAGATGGTGGGGAACGGAAGGATCACCATCCAGACAGAGCTGAAGAAGCTCCTTGGATGAGAAGTGAAACGTCTTCAAAGAAAAACCAGAAAGTCCAGTTGCCTCTTGAAAAAAAGCACCTTCGGGACAACCATGACCTGGATGACCGAGAACCTCCATAGACTCTCCAGATGTGCTAGAGCCATGGCAATTAGAATGCAGTATTGCAGGCTAACTCTGCCAACTGCCAGCAGTTCGATCCTGACTGGCTCAAGGTTGACTCAGCCTTCCACCCTTCCGAGGTCAGTAAAATGAGGATCCAGATTGTGCGGGGCAATAGGCTGACTCTGTAAACCGCCTAGGAAGGGCTGTGAAGCATTATGGGGCGGTATATAAGTCTAAGTGCTATTGCTATATCTTGGCAAGAACAGATGGGAACTCATCAAATAAGAGATGACTAATGTAAAAACACGCTCTTTGCCAGGGCTGGTGAGCCTTGATTAAAACAACAGATTCCGCAAGGAAATGGGAGAAAGGCTAATCTGGTGAAGGGGGTTTAACAATAAATACAATCACCAAATACTGTGTTTTGTTTATAAATGTTACTCTGGATTGAAAGCCCTTTTTGAGGAGACTATTATCCTGAAAAGTAAGATATAAATAGCTATGACAAATAATAAATGATAAATCACTTCAACAGCAAATTGCTCGGATGAAAGGATGAAGAGCAAACTTCTCCAATCTGGCAGAGGAGAGGAGAGGAGAGGAGAGTTGGAAGGGACATTGGAGGTCTTCTAGTCCAACCCCCTGCTTAGGCAGGAAACCCTACACCCGCTTCAGACAAATGGTTATCCAACATCTTCTTAAAAGCTTCCAGTGTTGGAGCATTCACAACTTCTGGAGGCAAGTTGTTCCACTGATTAATTGTTCTCACTGTCAGGAAATTTCTCCTTAGTTCTAGGTTGCTTCTATTGTTGGATGTCAACTCATCCCTGGAAGCTTTCAAGGAGAGACTGGACTGCCATCTGTCAGAAATGGTGTAGAGTTTCCTGCTTGGGCGGGTGTGTGTGTGTCAGCTTTGGAAGCCATATTAGGCCGGAAGCTTCCATGCTGCCACCTTCTCATGTGTGGGAAAGTAGGAGGGGGGATTTAGTAGAAGGGTTGTCTTTAGACATAATAGCATTCTTCCTGTCGGTCAAGGTCAGGCTGATCCTGCATCTGGAGAAGGAATGGTCGTAGTGATGTTGTCTCGAGATGGGACGGATGGTGATTGGAGCATGTGATAGTCTGAGGAGTGAGGGGATGGTTTGGGGGTTTTTGATTTACTGAGGAAAAACCCGGACCTCTCAGATTCGGGTTTTCCCAGATGTGCCAGTTTACCTATTCTAGTAAAGAGAACTTTGAAAAATGCTTGCTTCAGAGTTTTGCTTGGAGGTGGGATGGTGTTTCTGGAACGCTGACAGTATGTGCGTTGGACTAGATGACCTACAGGATCTCTTCCAACTCCGTTAATCTGTTAACTAGCATGATCTTTCTGGTAAGGTTGAGGGGGATTGACATATCTGCTGACTGCAAGACTGAAGTAGCTGGCAGGGTGACTTGTTTCTGAGGAAAAATTGGGACTTACCTGTCTCCATCTCGGAGTCTTCTGAACTGGGTCACCAATAAGCACATGAGAGTTGGTCCTACTCTGGTTCCTGGGATAAGATCTTCTACCATCAAGGCTGGAAAGAGGTCGATATTCTTTGTAATTCCATATAAGCTGCAGGAGCGGAGGAGGAAATGGATTAAGAGACGTGGAGCAGATTCAGTGGAGGACAGCAAGGATTTCCATGGGGGTGAAATTTTTATCTTTCAAGGAGAGACAAAGGGAAGGTTTCAGCTTTTAGAAGTGGTAACGGATAAACCTAGCACTATATTGGACAGATATTCTTGCCTATGATATTAGACTGGGAGACTGACATGGGAGAAGCATTGGCCCAACAAGTTGAATGGAGAAGGAGGGAGAGGGAGATAGAGAGGGAGGAGGAGAAGGAGAAGAAAGGAGGTGGAGACACAGAGTGAGAAGGAGAAGGAGAAAGAAGGGAGGGAGATAAAGAGGAGAGGGAGACTGAGAAAGAGAAAGGAGAGGGAGATAGGAGAGAGAGAAGGGAGATGGAGACACAGAGGAAGAAGGAGAAGGAGAAAGAAGGGAGATAGAGGAGAAGGAGAAGGAGAAGGAAGGGAAATGGAGACTTCTCTAGCATCCATTGTCCATGCTCCCATACCTCCTGAGTTTCTCCCTGATCTCCAGATTTTTAATTTCATTCCTGAGGTCATCAAACTCCTGAGCAGAGGTGAGGTTGCAGAAGACTCGGAAGTCATTATAAGGAGGGATGCCGTGATCGCGCCCTCTCTGGATATTGATGGCTGCCAGGTCCAGGGAGACCGAGTGCACCATTGAAAACAGCTTCTCAGTCAGCTCCATATTGAGGAGTTCAGAAGGCACCCGCATTTTCCCAGGCACCCCAAAAAGCCCACGCAGAAGGGGATCAATGCCACCCTCCTGGATGATCCTGAACGGGGAGAAGAACGCCTTGTGAAGCGGGATATGGCCTTGCCGGATGGGCTCGAAAGTTTCATTCAACCGGTAGAGTTGCGGATGGATGAGGGTGTGGCCGAAGCGAAAAGCCGCGGTGGCAAAAACGTTCAGGATGCCAGCATTGGTGGTGGGCTCGTAGCCTTTGTAGTCTCCCATGACCTTCATCCCAGCTTCTCCAAGGATCTTGGGAAGCCAGTGGGAGTAGGTGATATGCTGCATCAGGGCCCCCACAATCTTGCGAGCCTCGTGATAGATGGTGTCCCCATCCCAGTGAGGGTTCAAAGACTGGAGCTCGGCGGCCACCCGGTTATGCTCGCGGAACCACAAGGTGTGCATGGAAGTCAATCCCAGTTGCTCGTTGGCCCGGTGATCCCCGGCCAAGAAACACGGCACTGGACTCTCGCTTTCATCCCGCATGCACTCAGTCGGCGGCCCGGTGGCGAAAGGCAGGAGGGGTTTTCCTGAACTCGGAACCACCTGGCCTGACTTCAGAAACCCATTCTGGTTACTGAGATTCCGCAGTTCGAGGGACTCCTGTTCGGTGCTGCCGTAGACATTGGAAGCGTCGATGAAGGAGGTGAGGTGGTTGATCTGCTCCCGGGGGTAGACGGAGTTCAACAGCAGGGAGGTCATCCCGCTGCCGCACACGGGGCTGGAACGCACAAAGAACATGCACCGTCCTCGGCGTACCCGGGGGTCATTCTTGGGGATCATAATGGAGAAGCAAGGAGGATCGTTGGTGCACACTTGACTGCATGACGCCCCATCCGAGAAACGCGCCATGCTGATCGCAGCCACCGTCTGGTCCAAGTCGTGATCCAGAAACTGCCCCCATTGCATAAGCATGTGAGTGAAGTGGTCATCTGGGGTGATGGTCTCCGTGCCAATCAGGGCAGTCGAGACCAAGCGAGGCAGAGGAAGGGGGAGATCCCTGGAATCTTCCGCCAAGGAGAAACCCCGAGGGAGGTTGAAGCCATTTTGGTAAGCGGGCTTCAGCAGCCGTTGGAAGGCTGTGAGGGATGCGCCCCACATGGGGTGCTGGAAGTTATTGCAAGACCCATCGTGGGTCCTGTACTTCTTATGGAAGCAGATGTCGGAGCAGTTGGGGGTGCGGCGGTGGGCGGAGCAGCCCGATAAGTTGGCAATCATGTTCAGGTAGTGTGGGGAAACTAGGTCGTTGTAGCGATAGCCTGCAAGACAAGGTTAAAATGTTGGATTGGAGTTAGAATTAGAATCAAAGTGGATGAACTACATTTGTTTGTTTGTTTGTTTCCTGCTTTTATTATTTTTACAAATAACTCAGGGTCATGAACATAGATAACACACCTTATTCTTCCTATTGTCCCCACAACAACAATCCCATGAGATGAATTGGACTGGGGGAGAAGGACTGGCCCAAAGTCCCCTAGCTGGCTTTCAAGGCGGGACTAGAACTCACCATCTCTTTGTGATTGGCTTAAAGTCACCTAGCTGGCTTTCATGGCTAAGGCGGGACTAGAACTCACCATCTCTTTGCGATTGGCCCAAAGTCACCCAGCTGGCTTTGATAGCTAAGGCGGGACTTGAACTTACGGCCTCCCACTTTCTAGCCTTCTACATTCTGCAATCTGCTTAACTTTACTGCCAAGACCAGCATTGTTCCTTATCTGGCAAAGGGGTGGCTGGGGGAACGGGACGACATTAATGAAGATAATTTCTCAGACAATGAGAAGAGTAAGTCCATGAAGGCAGCATCTCTTTCAGTGATTCGAGGTGTTTCTTCCCAGCTTCCGGGCTGTGTGAGTTCATGAGATGCTACCAAAAGATCCGTCTTTTTCCTGATTGTTTGTGTCTATTCCAGAGGCATAATTTATCAATTTATGACCACAATTGAGCCAAACATTTCTGTGGCAAAGCAAGACAGTTGTTAAGTAAGCTTTGTTCCATTTTACAACCTTTCCAGCCACAGTTGTTAAATGAATCTCTGTAGTTGTTAAGTTACTAACATGGATGTTTCTTTTTTTTTTTTTTTTAATTTGATTTATATGCCGTCCTTCTCCGGAGACTCAGGGCGGCTTACAATGCGCTAAGCAATAGTTAAGTGAATGTTAAGTGAATCCGGCTACCCTATTGACTTTGCTTGCCAGAAGTTTGCAAAAGTGGATTCCATGACACTGCAAAAGTCATAAAGATGAGTCAGTTGCCAAGATTCCAAATTTTGATCACGTGACCATGGGGATGCTGTGACGGGCGTGTGAAAAATGGTCATAAGTCACTTTTTTCAGGGCTGTTGTAACTTTGGTCACTAAATTAAGTCAAGGACTACCTGTACTAAGTGTCTAGGAGTTCGGAACACAGCCATTCAATATTAAATGACATAATTTATCTTTTTTTTTAAAATGGCTTTCCAGATCTCATAATGGGAAAATTTAACAGCCTAAGACTCCAATGAAGGATGCCTAGAAAATAGGAAATGCCAACTGAATTTTGCAGGAAGGTCTGGTGTTCCTCCTAAACCCTTAAGACTAAAAAAGGCAAGGGCAATTTTTTCGCATTATACCTGTTCCATTCATGTCCACGAATAATCCTTGCTGCACGTGATCCTGAATGAGCTGCAAGGTTCGTTCAAAGATTTCTCCAGCCCGAGCGGTTTCGATGGTATAGGAGTCCCGTGGATATCTGAAAAGGGCCAGCAATTCGTTGGGCGTTTTGGGTCTCCTGTTTGGGAGGGACAGAATGTGATTCTTTTAACGGCTCGTCATATCCTGCAAACTTCGATTTCTGCATTGTAATATTTTCCCCCAATTAAATTCCTGACTGGTTGGTTGTTATCAGTAGAAGAAAATATTTGTAGTTCAGTGTTCAAATGTGGAGTCCCTGGTGCTCTCTGAACCTGGTTATTTTCTTGCAGACATTTCATTACCCAACTAGATAACTTCATCAGTGCTAGAAGTGTGTGGTGTTTGCAGAGAGGAGGAGGAGGAGGAGGAGGAGGAGGACTGCAGTGTCCTTGGTGCTCTCTAAGCTTGGTTATTTGCTTGCAGACATTTTATTACCCAACTAGGTAACATCTTCAGTGCTACAAGGGACTGTAACAGCCATTATGTAGGACAGGCAGGCAGAAGACTAACAGATTAACATTGATAAACACCAACTAGCAGTCAGAAGACATGATGAAAACACTTTAATTGCATAACACATGGACAGACGTAACTGAGAAACTGTGAGCAACCTAGATCAAATCAAGTCCAAAAATGTTAAGAGAATTCCTGGAAGCCTGGCACTCTGACCAATCAACCATCAACAGGCACATAGAGATAAACAACTTCTACATACTTTTCAAAAGAGGCAATCAAAAAACCTCAAAAGGAAACAAAAAGACCAGAATATCTCCTTGCTAGCAATCAACATCCAATGAACAGAGAACACCATGGTTAATACTAGACAAACAGTATACAATTCCACAGTCAAGAAACTACCAACTCAAACAAACAATCAAACATTAAAGACAGCCTAATCAAGGAACCACCAAAAACACTCCCCCCAACACTGACAGGGCAAGCCAGTTGTATGAAAAACAAGAGACCAAACTCCATATCCTTGAAGCACTGATGATGTTATCTAGTTGGGTAATGAAATGTCTGCAGGAAAACAACGAAGCTCAGAGAACACCAATGACTCCATGGTTGATTGTTACCTGTTGCATCCACCTGATGTTCAGCCTGGCAATAAATCTCATTCAATGGAAAGGAAATTCCTGATAGTCTTACTTGCTGAACAGTTCGGTGCGTGTCGAATTGATGGCGAAGTCCACACTGCTGATGGCTTCCTGGATAGAGGTGGCTACAAAGGTATCCCCGCTCCTTCTGATGTTTGTGGCTTTGTTTTCCCGGTGAGAAAAAGAAAAGAATAAGACCGTAATTAGTTTAATGGATTCATGAAATTAAGGAAGGGATCATTTGACTAGGATCTCAACAGCTTGTAGATAATACAGTTACACCTTGCTTACTGACTGCTTGGTGCAATGACTGTTCAAAGTTACAACCGTCGAATAAAACCAACTTGGCAATCAATTCTTGCATTTATAGCCAACGCAATATCTCATGGTCACATGATCTCCCTTTGCGACAATGGAGAAGACAACAATGAAATTGTAATTCTTATTCATGTGATCTTTCACTTAATGACTTCAGTACTCACTAACATGTTGAGACCAGTGGTGGGCTTCAAATTTTTTTACTATCGGTTCTGTAGGCATGGCTTGGTGAGCATGGCATGCTTGGTGGGCATGGCAGGGGAAGGTTACTGCAAAATCCCCATTTCCTCCCGATCAGCTGGGACTCAGGAGGCAGAGAATAGATGGGGGCGGGGCCAGTCAGAGGTGGTATTTACTGGTTCTCCGAACTACTCAAAATTTCCGCTACCAGTTCTCCAGAACTGGTCAGAACCTGCTGAAACTCACCTCTGGTTGAGACTCTAGAAAGAGTGCAGAGAAGAGCAACAAAGATGACTAGGGGACTGAAGGATAAAACATATGAAGAAAGGTTGCAGGAATTGGATATGTATAATTTAATAAAAAGAAGGACTTGGGGCGACTATTTATTTATTTATTTATTTATTTATTTATTTACTTATTTACTTATTTACTTATTTATTTATTTACTTATTTACTTACTTACTTATTTATTTATTTATTTATTTATTCATATTTCTATGCTGCCCACTCTCCGAGGACTCTGGGAGGCTTACACCAAAGACAGTATACTAAATAGCATATTGCCCCCAACAATCTGGGTCCTCATTTTACCCACCTTGGAAGGATGGAAGGCTGAGTCAACCTTGAGCCGGTGAGATTTGATCCGCTGATCTGCCGAACTAGCAGTCAGCTGAAGTAGCTGCAGTACAGCACTCTAACCATTGCGCCACCTCGGCTGACATGATAGCAGTGATCCACTATTTGAGGGGCTGCCACAAAGAGGGAGAGGGGTCAACCTATTCTCCAAAGCACCCAAAGGCAGGACAAGAAACAATGGATGGAAGCTTATCAAAGAAAGATTCAACCTAGAATTAAGGAGAAATTTCCTGACAATGAGAACGATTAACCAGTGGAATGATTTGCCTCCAGAAGTTGTAGGAAGGAAGGAAGGAAGGAAGGAAGGAAGGAAGGAAGGAAGGAAGGAAGAAAATTTATGCAAATGCTGTTGATTTGAGAATTAATATACAAGCAGTCCTCAAGTTATGACCACAACTGAGCCCAAATTTTTTGTTGCTAAGTAAGACAGTTATTAAGTGAGTTTTGCTCCATTTTACGACCTTTCTTTCCACCCTCTTAATATTTTTTTTAATGCTCCAACACTGGAAGTTTTTAAGAAGAGATTGGATAACCATTTGTCTGAAATGGTATAGGGTTTCCTGCCTAAGCAGTGGGTTGGACTAGAAGACCTCCAAGGTCCCTTCCAACTCTGTGATTCTATCCTATTCTAACTTTTGCCTCCCCCAAAGCTTGGATACTACATTAATTCTTGACTTCTTGACTTTTGAGACTCTCTCCCTGGCAGGGTGTTACAAGGGTGTTATTAGAAGTCTCCCTCCTACCTTCCCTTCTACACAAAAACGAAATAAAATCGGTTTTGAAGGAAGAATGTTTCTTTTTCTCTTACCGATGATGGTGAGCAGCATGGCACTGGCGGTTAACCCAGAGCTACTCCTGGCTACGCATTCGTATTGTCCTTGATCTGCCAGACCCAAATCTCGGATGGATAAAGTGCCTTCTTGGCTGATGTGGAACTTGCCACTCTCTGTGATCTGAATCCTGTCCTGGTGTAGAAAAAGGAAAAAAATCTGGAGCACGAATAGGATTCTCTCTGGTGGGGAGACCACGATCTGTTTCACAGTCATCCACCAAGGTCAAAAAAGTCAAAATGGTGTCCGCAAGAAGAGCCACGAACTTCATTTAATTTATTAATTTATTGCATCAACCAAATATAAATATAGGCAGCTCTTGATTTATGATGAAAATTGAGCCCAGGATTTCTCTGGTTAAGCCCGACAGTTGTAAAAGTGAGTTTTACTCCATTTTACAACCTTTCTCGCCACAGTTGTTAAGCGAATCATTGCAGTTGTTAAATTAGTAACATGGTTGTGAAGTGAATCTGGCGTCCCAGTTGATTTTGCTTGCCAGAAGGTCACAAAAGGGGATCACGTGACCCCCCCAGGACATAGCAACTGTCATAAATACGAGTCAATTGTCAAGCGTCCAAACTTTGATCACATGACCACAGCGCACGCTCACATTTGGGAACCCGTAGGGAAAGTGAATGAATACCACCCCTAAACCCACCTGTTCTGCCCCAGCTACGGACCCCAAAGAACGCAGCACACACAAAGTCTGTACAAACCTTAGTTTACTAAATTAAATCAGTCTTTTTCAAACAAAGGCTGTTAATTAAGTTTCTTAACAGCCTACAAGAATCCAAACAATAAATAATCGTAATCTTACTATGGTTGGGAGAAAGCCCAGAAGCCATTTGCAGGAAAGTGATATGAGAACTAAGATCAGGACGCGAAGGAGAATGAACGAAGTTGTTCCCTGCAAATTGCCTCAGTCATCATCCTTCCTTAAATAGGCTAAGGGAGTGGCCAATTAGCCCCAAGCCTTACTCTCGAGGAGACCTCCTCCTGAGGAACCACTCCTGCCTTTTGGCAGCTCTGCGCGCCTGTGCATCGAGAAGAGGCTCCTCCTCTTCTTCCTCTTCACTTATGGGAGCTTCTGGATGTTCTGAAGGCCCTGGATGAATCCCCACCTCTGGCACCACATCTTCTCCAGCCTCCTCATTGTCCGACTTGAGTGCCAGCTGCACAGGCTACTGGCATAGCACCACACCAGCCTCCTCACTGTCGGAATCAGCTACTAGCTGCACAGGCCGCTGATGGGCCACAACACCACTTCACAGGATTGTTGTTGGGACGATAGTCCGAAAGAGGAGGATTAGGTATGTTTGCCTCCTTGAGTTGTTTATAAAAGTAATGAAGGCGGGATATAAATTAAAGAAATAAAATAGAGAGGCGAATCGAATCTGCTCCTCCTTCAAAATAAGGCATCCCCATTTTACCTCAGAAGCCCACACCCGATGTCCCCCAGCCCTACACAAAAGGCGATCCTGCTTGTGTTAAGTGATAAACCGTCTGACCTTCGCCCACGTTATCGTTGGCTGTGGGTCCCCTTGGGCGGTACAAGGGATCTCAATGTCTTGGCCGACTTCTGCAACCGTATCTTGAGGTGGATGAAGAAATACGGGCATAACTGTTTAGGAAAGACAAAGGGGTTGTGGGGTGAAAGCACGGAGTCAGGTTTAACCAGTGGAACGACTTGCCTCCAGAAGTTGTGGGTGCTCCATCACTGGAGGCTTTAAAAAGAGATTGGACAGACATTTGTCTGGATAGGGCAGGGATGGTTAACCTTTTTGGTGCCGAGTGCCCAAAGCGCGTGCGTGCGAATGCACATGTGCGTGCCAGAACTCCCAAAATGCACTGTCCCTGCACATGCATGCGCCCCCCGCATGTGCCCCACCCCCCGTGCATGTGCCCCGCCCCCCGCCCCATTTTGGCTTCCAGATTGGTGCAGACTTTTCAGGCCCAAAACGGGGCACGGAGCCCCTGTTTTGGGCCTGGAAAGCTGCCTGCACAAACCTGGAAGCCAAAATGGGCTGTGAGGCACCGCACGAGCCCCCCCAGCGCCCCATTTTGGGCCTAGAAAGCCTCCTGCACCAACTTGCACCACCCCACGCATGCGCCCCGCCCCCCGTGGCAGAGATCCGAAGACCAGCTGTCTGTCTGGAGGTGCATGCGTGGTGGAGCTGGGCTGGGGCAATGGCTGGCGTGCCCGCAGAGAGGGCTCTGCGTGCCACCTGTGGCACGTGTGCCATAGGTTCGCCATCACGGGTATAGGGTCTCCTGCCTGAGCAGGGGGTTGGACTAGAAGACTTCTGAGGTCCCTTCCAACTCTGTTATACTATATTCTGCATTTAATTGGGAACAGAAATTAAGGGAAGACATGTCTTCCAGATGGGTTGGCCAAGAGCATTGAACTTCAAACACTCTGGAAAATATGAGGTTGGGGAAGACCAGTGTCAAGGCCGACTCGGATTCGATCGGTACCTGCAATTCTTCTTGCAGCTCAACAACAGAAACAGACGGGAGGGAGTTGAATTCTTAAGGGAGTTGGGAGGGACTGGGGGAATTCAAGCGAGCCTGAGGTGCCTGAGGAAGTTCCTACACTTCAAGGGCACAATCAGAGAACTTTTTGAACAGCGTGGATTGTTTCTCAAAACACAAAGAACGTGTTGGATTGATGGACAGTGGACAGTGGGTGGGGGGCTAACAGGGAAAAGGGGAATTTACCTATGCTGTTTTCTATTGGAACTTTTAGCAGCTTTGCTTCTTCTGTGCCTATATGGATCTATCAGTAAAGGGTAGAAGGAAACCAACTGGATGGGGAGGATGAGATCAGGAAGAATTTTGTGCGTACACTTACCACGTGGGGTGACCTTGAGGCTCGCCGAAAATCTCTGGGCTCCAACAGCATTGATGGCATGGCACTCATAGTGGCCTTGATCATGAAGGGACACTTGGACCATCTGGAGGGTTCCCGTGGAGAGGACACTGTATCTCCAACTGTTTGGTAATGGACCACCTATCAACAAGAGGACTGTGTGAAAACATGGTGCTCTTGGAGAAATTCTCCCATGAAAGGATAGACAAGGTGCTTTTTCAAAAGGCAACTGGACTTTTCTTCTCATCCATGAAGCTTCTTCAGTTCTGACAGGAAAAACAAAGTCTGGCTGCCTTTTGAAAAAGCACCTTTGAGACAACCATGACCTAGATCACTGATGGCTAACCTTTTTGCCGTCACATGCCAAAAGCGGGGGGAGTGGGGGGGGTTGCGGGTGCAGGTGCCCACATCCATAATTCAATGCGCCCCGCCCTCCTGCGCATGCGCCTGTGGCCCCCCCCCCACGCTCCCCCCCTGCTTTTGGCACATGATGGCCTGGTGGGCCTGGTAGGCCTGTTTTTCACCCTCCCCAGGCTCCAGAGCCTTTCTGGGAGTCTGGGGAGGGCAAAAATAGCCTTCCCCAACCCCCAGAGGCCCTCCAGAGGCCGGAAACAGCCAGTTTCCCGACTTCCGGTGGGACCAGAAGGTCTGAAAATCAGTTGCCCGGTGTGCGCATGCGCGCTGGAGGTGAGCTAGGGCAACACTCGTGTGCCCACCAATATGGCTCCACGTGCCACAGGTGGCATGCGTGCCATAGGTTCGCCATCACAGACCTAAATGACCGAGAATCTCCATAAGATGGACAGCTTTCCTTGAAAGTAAGAGTTCTATCTACCCAGTTGGGTCCAGCTGATGAAAATGGATTGTTAATTTTGAGGGGTTCACCCTGGATTTCTTCTTGAGGGACATCACGCTGGGTCCTGATGTTGAGCCTGAAAGTCCAATTGTAACTTTCCTTTGATCGTCTTCTCCTAGAAGGACAATATGGAGCAATGGTGCCCTTCCAAGGTTGCAAGACATCTTCTAGTAAATATGGGTTGGTTGGGGGTGTGAAAAGGGAAAAATACCGCAGGTGGTCTTCTGAACTTGAGATAGGGGGAAAGAGAGAGAGCAGGAGTGGACTAACAAGTTTTTTGGAACTAGCTACTGGAAATGCCTACTTTAGATCGGGGTCTCCAACCATGGCAACTTTAAGACTTGTGGACTTCAACTTTAGCTGGCTGAGGAACTCTGGGAAATGAAGTCCACAAGTCTTAAAGTTGCCACAGTTGGAGACCCCTGCTTTAGATGATGCCCTTGTTTGAAAGATAGGAGGCTGGACAAAGTTCCTTGGAGATGGTGGTGGGAATTAAGAGGAGAGATGAAGGGCCCTGAAACTTGAAAACAAGTTCTATAAGGAATCGTTAAAAGGATTATATGAAGCAAAAGGTATATATAACACTTACAGTAGGGTTTCTAAAGTGTATACTAGGGGTGTCTAACTTTGGCAACTTTAAGACTTGTGGACTTCAAATTTAAGACTTGTGCACTATAACTTTAAGATTTATGGACTTCAACTTTAAGACTTATAGACTTCAGCTCCCAGAATTCCTCAACCAGCATGGCTGATGGAGGAATGCTGGGAATTGAAGTCCACAAGTCTTAAAGTGGCCAAGGTTGGACACCCTTGGTTATCTTACTTCACTGAGTGTGTAGATCTTTCTTTGATGTGTGCCTACTTGTTAATTTTGGGGGCCCACCTGTGTGTGCTCAGAAAAGTTTGTCCTATAAAAAGATTTTCCTGGTTTACTACTTATTTGTGTGGTTTAATTAGTTTAACCTGGTTGCCAATTATCATCTGAAAGAAGTTAAGTGATCTGTGCAAAATTGTATTAGTTTAGCTTGTGATGTACTAGTTTCGGTTGCTTGCAAGTTATACTACTGATTAAAAGGAGAGTCAAAGGCAGTGCAGGCCTAAAATTAGTCTGGAATCTAATTTCTTCCCACACCTTTCCTTTAGAACAACATTTTTCAACCTCGGCATCCTTGAGATGCTGCTATGGGAATTCTAGAAGTTGAAGTCCACCGTGATATAAAAATGATATTGACACTCTAGAAAAAATGCAGAGAAGAGCAACAAAGAGAATTGGCAGGGTGGAGGAGCTAAAACATACGATGAACAGTTGCAGGAATTGGGTATGTCTAGTCTAGTGAAGAGAAGGACTAGGGTGAATGATAGCAGTCTTCCAGTATTTGAGGGGCTGCCACAAAAAAGAGGGGTTCAATTTATTCTCCAAAGCACCTGAAGGCAGGAGAAGAAGCAATGGATGGAAACTAATCAAGGAGAGAAGCAACCTAGAACTAAGGAGAAATTTCCTGACAGAACAATTAATCAGTGGAATGACTTGCCTTGTGAGTGCTCCATCACTGGAGGCTTTCAAGAAGAGATTGGACAACCACTTGTTTGGAATGGTATAGGGTGTCCTGCTTGAGCAGGGGGTTGGACTAGAAGACCTTCAAGGCCCCTTCCAACTCTGTTATTGTTAGCTGAGGTTGAGAAACACAGGTCTAGTCCAATCTTGGAGATCCTTTTCAGCTCATGATTCGATGACTCTTAAGTCCTTACAGAAGACAGCAATGCCAAGAATATACCTTCTTTTGTCCAAGATATGACCGGGCGAGGATGTCCATCTGCAGAGCAGGGCAGATCCACATTTTGACCCTCAGTTACGGTCTGATCAGTGGGAGCTATCAAAAACCTGGGGGTATCTGCACGAGGAGAGGAAAGAAAAGAGACATCTTCTATAAAGATCGTGGGAACGTGCAACCTCCTTTCCACCAAGCATCAAATTAACACCCTAGAGAAAGATTGAGAAGACCAGATTAGGGCAATGTTTCTCAACCTCAGCCATGAGAAGAGGTGGGGACTTCAACTCCCAGAATTCCCCAGCCAGCATGGCTGGCTGGGGAATTCTGGGGGTTGAAGTCCCCACCTCTTCTCATAGCTGAGGTTGAGAAACATTAAAATATAGTCAAAAATTATCAAGAGGGGGTAGTCTAGTTGAGGTAAGTATCAGAGAGACTCAGGATGTGGGTTGCATCCACACATTCAAAGGTCCAACCCTTTTATATGTGCAGGGTTGGCATTGGATGCCCTCATCCTGGCCACCATCTTCATTTTTTCGACTCCTCTAGCGTCACCCATTCTCTGAGGAAATCTTGCTCGTCGTCTTGACTTTTCTTTTGAAAAGAAACGAGACGGTGTTACGGATTGAATCTTTAACAATTAGGTCATGGATGGGCAAAATTTGCAACAAATTCACCGCTGTTCTTTGTCCCCTATCAATATTTGAATCTTCTTCTTTTTTTTTTGATAAGGAGCCAAGGGAGGAGGGTTTTTTTATTTTAAATAATTTCAGGTAGTCCTGGACTTACAACCATTCATTTAGAAATCTTTCGAACTTACAACGGCGCTGAAAAACATGACGTACAACTGGTCCTTGCGCTTACAACTTGCAACATTCCCCACAGTCACGTGATCAAACCCCAGTCCAGTGATGGGTTGCTACCAGTTCGCCCTGAATCGGGCAAACTGGTAGCAGCGGCGGTGGCGGGAGGCTCCGCCCAGACACTTCTGCACATGCGCAGAAGAGTCATGCGCGAGTGAGCGTGCACGCACAAGCGAACTGGTAGCGACGGGTTTTGAGACCCACTACTGCTCCAGTCCATTGGCAAACAACATATATTTACAAAGGCTGCAGGCTTTACTTAACAACTGCATGATTCACTTAACAACTGCAGTGATTTTTTTAAATTATTTTTTTATTAATCATATTTCTATGCCGCCCACTCTCCGAGGACTCTGGGTGGCTTACAACAATCGACAGTATACTAAATAACATATTGCCCCCAACAATCTGGGTCCTCATTTTACCCACCTCGGAAGGATGGAAGGCTGAGTCAACCTTGAGCCGGTGAGATTTGATCCGCTGATCTGCTGAACTAGCAGTCAGCTGAAGTGAAAAACAGTCAGATGACTTTTTCCAGTGCCTTTGTAACTTTGAAACGGTCGCTAATTGAGGACTATGTGTACCCAGGGGTGGCCTGCTGGGAGTTCGCAGGGGTTCGGGAGAAGCTATAGTTAAGATTCTGTGCAGTTCGGAGAACCCCCAAATCCCACTCCTGGCTGGCCCCGCCCACCCCGCCCCTCCCAGTTGTCCCACGTGGCCCGTTTGAGGTAAATGCAGAGGCTTGGGGAGGGTGAAAAACGGGCCTACCGGAAGTTCGGGAAGGCTGGAAAGAGGCCTCCTGGAGGCTCAAGGAAAGACTCTGGAGCCTGGGGAGGGCAAAAATACCCCAACACCCCCGCCGTGGTGCAGGAGGCCAACTAGGCCAGCCTACCCAGCAACTGGGCAGAGAACCCCTTGCTAAAATTTTTGAAGCCTACCCTGGTGTGTACCCAACTTTGGTCTAATTTAACGCCTGACTACATTTGGCCAATAATATTCTCACAGCTACCTTGCACAATGATATTTGCCGTTGCCGTGATGGATCCTTCTGTGTTGGTGGCTTTGCAGCTGTATTTGCCTTCATCTGACAAAGTGACATTTTGGATATAGAGGCCGCCGGAGCTGGTGATGTTGAAGCGCGGATTTTGGGGCAGTGGCGACCCTGAGCTCAGCATCCAGACAACGCGAGGCGGGGGCTGTCCTGACACCCCACATTCCAGAGTCACACTTTCCCCCACCAGGACTTCTGTGTTCTGGGGATGGATGACAAATGTAGGTTTGGCTGAAAACATAAAAGGACACAGAAGCGCTTGGTTAATATAAAGAAACTCAGACCATTTCAGTATATTATGATTCGCTATAGAATATAGAGTAACAGATTTGGAAGGGATCTTTGAGGTCTTCTAGTCCAACCCCCTCACGTAGAGTTGCCAGGTGTCCACTATTTGAGCGGACAGTCCGCTTTTTTCACATTATGTTCACTATTTTTTTTCACAAAACAGTGGACATTTTTTTTATTCAAAAGCTTTATGATGAAATGGTACGTAATCTAAAGCTGTACAGTCTAAGAGAATAAGGATAGGAGAATCGCGTTTTGTCTTTTTTTTCATAAGTTAGAATGAGACAAAGATCGAATATCCATTGAACTCGATTCTCTGAAAAAATTAATGATGAGATTAAAATAAAAATGTATTATAAAATTATGTACAGTTCACATTTTTAAAATGTATTGTAGCTTGTGTCGACTGACCTAAAATGGCGTCGAGTGATGAGAGTGACAGCGGCGAGATTTCGAATTCTTTAAAATGAAAGAGAGGAGTGTGCAAATACACCAAAGACTGGGAAGCTACTTTTGCATGGATTACCAACAACGAAACCGACAGAACAAATACGACGGCCTACTGTACCCCCTGCTCAAGTAGTTGAACCTACACCATTGATTCTCAAGCTTTTCTTCACCATAGACCCACCCTTAAATACCTTTTGTGGCCACAGACCCCCCAAAAACCTAACTCAAGTTTTAAATCATAATGTTTTTTCAAGCCTTGATGGACCCTCTGTGACAACTTCACGGGCCCCCCCAGGGGTCTGCAGCAGTGATGGGTTTCAATTTTTTTTTACTACCGGTTCTGTGGGTGTGGCTTGGCGGGCGTGGCAGGGGAAGGATACTGCAAAATCTCCATTCCCACCCCACTCTGGGGCCAGCCAGAGATGGTATTTGCCGGTTCTCTGAACTGTTCAAAATTTCCACTACCGGTTCTCCAGAACCTGTCAGAACCTGCTGGATTTCACCCCTGGTCTGGAGACCACATCTGGCCTATACCATTCCAGACAACCTCAAGCCACAACTTCTGGAGGCCAGCTGTTATATTGATTCATTGTTCTCACGGTCAGGAAATTTCTCCTTAATTCTAGGTTAAATCTCCCTTTGATAAGTTTTCATCCATTGCTTCTTGTCCTGCCTTCAGGAGCTTTGGAGAATAGGTTGACTCCCTCCTCTTTGTGACAGTCCATCAAATATTGGAAGACTGCTATCAGGCCACCCCAATCCTTCTCTTTGTTAGGCTAGAAATACCTACTTCCTTCAATTCTTCGTTGTATGATTTAGCCTCCAGACTCCTGGCAATCAATGTCACTCTTCTCTGCATTCTTTCTAGGGTCTCAACATCTTTTTCATATCACAGTGACCAGAAGTGGATGCAGGATTCCAAGTGTGGCCTTACCAAGGCCTTATAAAGTGGTATTTACACTTCACGTGATCTTGATTCTATCCCTCTGTTGATGCAGCCTAGAACTGTGTTGGCTTTTTTGGCAGCTGCTGCACACTGCTGGCTCATATCTAAATGGTTGTCCACTAGGACTCCAAGATCCGTCTCACAGTTACTACTATTGAGCCAGGTACCACCTATTCTATACCTGTGCATTTGGCTGAAAATGAATTGAAAAGCACTGTGTTAAACCATAGTGTTTTATTAAGAGTGCCAGTTTGGTGTGAGTTCTAATCCTGCTTTGGGCATGGAGCCAGCTGGGTGACTTTGGGCCAGTCCCTCTCTCTTAAGCCTTAGGAAAAAGAAGGCAATAGCGAACCATTTTTTAAAAATGTTGAGAAAACTTGGATGGACTTATTTTGAGCTTGGATATAACATTACATACAAATATCGCAACTTTGTTTTCTTAGTTCAAGTTTAGGATTTTGGCATATTGTGTGAACCTAGCTTGACACCAGTGGTGGGTTGCCCCCGGTTCACACCGGTTTTATAGAACCGGTAGCAAAACTGGTGGGAGGCTCCGCCCACTGACCCCATCAAAATGCTTCTGCGCAAGCGCAGCGGCCCCGTTGCAATCCGATAGTAAAGGTAAAAACAGGCCACATGTAACATGAGTGAGGAATCAAAGGCCATGTTGGTTCTTTAAAATCATCTTGAAGGCCACATTTGTAGGAAATAGTGAGCCTTCGGCAAAAAAAGACCAAACAGGTGTCCACTATGAGGAGGTCAAAATAGCCAAGGGGCCAATCACAATTTGTGCAATCAAAGCCACCCCCCTTTTCAAAAATATGTCATTGATTGATTTGATGGTGCAGCTGTGGTTGCCCTCTTGACTTTCTTAACCAGCCCCTCACGGGTGACCCTGAGACAAAGCTCTTGTTCCTCCTTACCACGGTTCTCCTTGTCACGTCATTCACTCACTCAAAACCCTTTTGGTTTTTCACTCATTTGCATTTTATGGGATGGCAAATCCCACCCATAACAACGGTGAGTTTGCAAAGTTTCCCAAATTGGTCCGGTTTCATCAGCCAATACAGGTAAGACAGGTGAGATGCTACTACCGGATTTCATGGCCCCATCCTAAAACCAACACGCAGAGATTATCCATCTGGTTCTTATAAACCAAGGGACAAGATCTTCATTTATTTGAAGGACATTACAAGGAATGCCGAAGTAGCGCAGGGCAACCTCAGGAGTCTTCGCTTCGCCCACAATGTTCTTGGCCAGGCACTGATAGATTCCCTTGTCGGATTCTTTCGTGTCTTGGATCATCAACGTGCCATCTTGTAGCAGGTTCAGCCGCCCATCATCCCTCATGTCAATCTCGTTGCTGCAATGCAAAAAAGGAAGATGGCAGCCAGTTTCATTCCTCCTTTGATCTAGGGAAGGATTGGACTACAGCTAGTATTACCCCCAGATAACAATCCAAACTATCTCTATCTGAGATGGGGAAAGAACTGCTGTCAACTTATCCAAGGGGGACACGGGGTCACCTTAATCAGCATGAGCCAAGACAATTTAAGATTGTCAAACAAGCGCACAAACATGGGTGTATAAGTAGCCCTCGACTTACGACCACAATTAGCATGAGAATTTCCATTGCTAAGCAAGTCGGGGTTAAGTGAGTCATGCCCGATTTTGCGATCTCTTTGTCACAGTCGTTAAGTGAATCACTGCAGTTGTCAAGTGGATCGTGTGGTCGCTAAGTAAATTTGGCTTCCCCAATTGACTTCGCTTGTTGGAAGCCAGGTGGGAAGGTCACATTAGTGACCTTAGATCGTGTAAAGGTATGTGAGAAAGACCTTGAGGGACTGAGGAAAGAGATGCTGCCAAGGGAATGATCAGATAAGAGACAGCATAGCTTGCAGATGAATAATGGGCCAGGTTTGAAGCTCAGAAGAGACATTCCCTAGTTTCTCAGGCTGTAAAGGAGATGGAGAAGTAGAATTCTACTTTCATACTGGCAAGATTCTGTCAATGTAGCTTTACAATGAAGTAGAATGAACGATTAAGTAGAATGAACTCATCTGGTTGTGATTTCTGTCTGCTTTACAATGTGAAGTTGACACCAATCTTGTAACTCTGAGAGTACAATCGTCCCACCCAGGGGTGGGCTGCTGGGGGTTCGCAGGGGTTCGGGAGAACCTCTAGCTAAGATTCTGTGCAAAATCCCATTCCTGGCTGGCCCTGCCCACTCCACCCTGCCCCTCCCACATGGCCCATTTTGGATGCAGGTAACTGCAGGGCGCGCATGGAGACTCGGGGAGGGCGAAAAACGGGTCTATCAGAAGTTTGTTTCCAGCCTCCGGAGGGCCTCTGGAGCCTGGGGAGGCCGTTTTTGCCCTCTCAGAGACTTGAAAAAAGCCTCCGGAGCCAGGGAAGGGCAAAAATGCCTTCCCCCCTCCCAGCAACCGGGCAGAGAACCCCTTGCTAAAATTTTTGAAGCCCACCCCTGCTCCCACTGCTTTACAGCTCAAGAAACTAGGGAGGGTCTCTACTGAGGGTCTCTCCTTTCACTATCCAACTGTGGGCTATGCTATCTCTTTTCTGACCATTTCCTTAGTACTGTCTCTTGGCTCCATCTTCCAAGGTCTTTCCGAGACAGACTGGCATGCTGCTTCTGCCATCTTGCCCTTCGGTCCGTCTTACTTACTTGTTGTGAAGCCAGATAATCTTAGGTTTCGGATTCCCCTCTGCCCGGCAGATGAAATAGACAGTGTTGCCCAGAGTAACGTCGACATCTTGCGGCTCAGTTGTGATGCGAGGGCTCTCTGAAACACACAGACAAATGGAGGACGACCCTTCAAAGGCTGAAGGATGTCATACATGACTTTGGTGTTTTCAATGTTCCTAACTGTCCCCCTTGAGCCAAAATTCAGATTGACTCATTAAAGGCCTTAGGGTCTAAATTAAGTTGATCTTAAATTGAGCTCTGATCTGTTTTAATTCAGACCCTATATTAGTTTTCTATAGACAGCCTCTGCTCAGGAAGAATAACAGAGTTGGAAGGTGTTAGGGAATGGGGTTGAGGGGTCCCCCGGACCTGGAACCAGCTCATGAGCAAACGCACTAGGACTGAAATAAATCTGACAGAGGAGTCTTGTGTAAAAATATAATTTACTTTAAAATGTTTAAAAAGCACTATGTCTTTAAGAAAGCACATTAAAAACAAAGTCTTATCTTGGTTATGTGAAGCAAGGCTATCTCCCTAGATTCCTCTCCACAATACTGAAACAGTTCACAAGAGAATAAAGCTAACATGAAGATAAGCAGCTTCGGTGTCAATACATCATCGAGGTAGTAGAAGGGCGGCAGCACAAACTTCACAGCTAAAAGTCACCTGAAGTAAAAACAGTTCAAAACAGCAAACATTGCTTGAAGCTTGTGGGAGGAAGAAGGTCCAGCAACAGCAGTCCCGATGATAGCTTGTGTGCTACAAAACAGCAAAAGGCAAGCATCCGTGGGAGTTTCTCTGCAACGGCATCTGGAGTCCTTATCTGCATTCTTCTCCCATCTGCGGCATTTGCACTTAGCTTCCTGCAGGAGCTGTGCATTTAGGCCTAAACTAGGCCCGAGTAGCAAGCGAAAAGGTCCTTGCTTATATGGGGAGTTAACCTGCAATTAACTAGGGCGGGGAAGGCTTGCAGGTAATTGCAAACAGGAGATGGCTTGATTAAAACCATACTGTTTGTGAGTAGGCAAGTAGCCACAGCAATCCTGGAAACACTCGTGACAGAAGGTACCTTAGAGGTCTTTAATTTTAATTTGATTTATATGCTGCCTTTCTCTGGAGACTAAGGGCGGCTTACAATGCGTTAAGCAATAGCCTTCATACTTCTGTATATTTATACAAAGTCAGCTTATTGCCCCCACAAACTGGGTCCTCAATTTACCTACCTTAGAAAGGATGGAAGGCTGAGTCAACCTTGAGCCTGGGGAGATTTGAACTTGCAGTAATTGCAGCAGCTGAATGTTAATAACAGGCTATTAGTCTGCTGCGCCACCAGGCTCCTCTATGTCTCCTAGCATAGCGTACTTTTTTCTCTACCTATCCTAACTGAAAGCCCTATCAATTGTGGAGCTGACTGGCGACAGGGAGTCGCAGCAGAGGGATGAAAGAGCCACAGGCGGCTCCAGAGCCGCAGGTTGCTGACTCCAGTTCTAGAGTGTCTTTTTTTAATATCCCAGTAACAACCCTGGATGCAATACTCTAGGCCAGGGGTGGGCAATTGTGGCTCTTTTACAACCTGTGGACTTCAACTCCCAGAATTCTTGAGACAGCCAAGGTGTTTGAGGAATTCTGGGAGTTGAAGTCCACAGGTTGTAAAAGAGCCACAATTGCCCACCCCTGCTCTAGGCCGACTCGCCCCAGCCAACTCATCATGGGACAATTCAATGCAGGATAACTCAAGAGAGGGACAAGTGAATTGCAACGGGCCTTGTCTTGCTTTAGGTATGAATTTCTCAAGGCTGGGATGACTTGCAATTCTACTTGAGTTTCTTGAGTTATCCTGCGTTGAGTTATCCTAGGTCAGGGGTCTGGAGCCGCATGTGGCTCTTTTACCCCTCTGCTGTGGCTCCCTGTCACTCAAAATATGCATCACAACAGCCAATGTGTGACACCCACTGGCACGTGATTTATTGAGCTTTTCAACCCCTGGTAGGCCAACCATGGATAAATCCAAGAAAAAAGTTTCAGAAGAAAACAGAACGTTTCATTCAACTACATATGCTAGTTTTGTGGCCGCTCAAGAAATAGTCAGGCACGGGAAGGATTTTGTGCAGGGGTGAAATCCAGCAGGTTCTAACAGGTTCTGGAGAACCGGTAGAGGAAATTTTGAGTCGTTCAGAGAACCGGCAAATACCACCTCTGGCTGGCCCCTGAGTGGGGTGGGAATGGAGATTTTGCAATATCCTTCTCCCAGGAGGGGAGGGAATGAAGATTTTGTAATATCCTTCCCCTGCCACGCCCACCAAGCCACGCCAACAGAACCGGTAGGGAAAAATTTTGGATTTCACCCCTGGTTTTGTGGCTCCTGGTGTTTTCTTTTCTGTGGGAAACAGGTCCAAGTGGCTCTTTGAGTGTTTAAGGCTGCAGACCCCTGTCCTAGGTTCTTGAGTTATCCTGGGTTGAATTTTCCTGTGGTGAGTTTTATTTATTTATTTTTATTTTATTGAATTTATATCCCGCCCTTCTCCCCGAAGGGACTCAGGGCGGTGAACAGCCGAAAATTAAAATAACGTACAATATAAAAGTTAAGATAACTAAAAATAAATTAAATTAATCGGCCTCCCAATTTAAAACCCCAAGCTATACAATTAAAAAACTAACCCATAAAATCTATTCAGGCCAGGCCGGCTTGCTGAAATAAAAACGTCTTCAGGGCCTTACGGAAAGTGCGGAGATCCGGGATCAGCCGTATTCCGGGAGGTAGCTCGTTCCAGAGGGTAGGTGCTCCCAGAGTTGGCCTGTAGCCAGTTGGCCATGGCAAATTTTCCTGCGGTGAGTTGGCTGAGGTGATTTGGCCACAGTGAGATGGCCGGGGCGAGTTATCCCAGTCCTCAGACTGACAGCGCCCTAATTCACTTTTATAAGGAGGAGGAGGAGGGCAGGCATTCATTCATTTCTGAAGGCAAGCTGTTCCACTGCCCAACAGTGAGAACAATTAATCAGCTTGCTTTCAGAAATTCTATTCTATTCTATTCTGTTCTGTTCTGTTCTGTTCTGTTCTGTTCTGTTCTGTTCTGTTCTGTTCTGTTCTGTTCTATTCTATTCTATTCTATTCTATTCTTATTCTATTCCATTCCATTCCCTTAACTTGCAAGATTGTTATTGTAATCAACTTCAAGAAAAGTTATTTTTAGCTTCCCATGCAATTGACTTCCGATCTGATCTACCTTGTAGAGTTGACATCAGTCCTGTAACAACCACAAATGTCCTCTAGATGGCACTTTTCCCCTACAATTATTATACTCTCCCTTGTGTCCAAGTCAAACATTCAATGAAAAGATCCTATGTGTGAACCTAGAAACTTGCTAATTAAGGGTCCGAGTCAGTCGTGTCTGAACCCAGCCCATAAACCCAGGTCGAGTTCTTGCTGATTTGCTTAACTGCTTCCAGAGATTGTTGGGACATGAATCGAGTCAGGTAGTCCTCAACTTTTTTTTTTTTTTAATTTGATTTATATGCCGCCCTTCTCCGGAGACTCAGGGCAGCTTACAATGCGTTAAGCAATAACTTACAACCACAGGATCAGGATTCTTGTTGCTAAGCAAGGTGGTTGTTAAGTGAGTCACACCCTATTTTACATCCTTTTTGCCATGGTTGTTAAGAGAAACACTGCAATTGTTAAGCAAATCACCCAGTCATTATGCGAATCCAGCTTCCCCCACTGACTAGGCCTGCCGGAAGTTGGCTGGGAAGGTCGCAACTGCCGATCACATGACCCCAGGACGTCGCAATCATCATAAACACATGCCACTTACCTGTTGGATGCAACAGGTAACAATCAACCATGGAGTCCTTGGTGCTCTCTGAGCTTGCTTGTTTTCTTGCTGACCTTTCATTACCCAAATAGGTAACATCATCAGTGCTAGAAGGGAATGGGGGAGGAGGACTGTGGGGCCCTAGGTGCTCTCTGAGCTTGGTGGTTTTCTTGCCGACCTTTCATTACCCAAATAGGTAACATCATCAGTGCTAGTAAGGCATGAAGTTTGCAGTACAGTCTGGAAAAATAGTGAATAAAATAGACAATGGATCGGATGGCATCACTCACCACAGTTGAATTCTCGGGTGGTCAAGGTGATGACCGAACGACCCAGTAATTCAGGCGGGCTCTCGCAAGTGGCAGCTGCTTGTGTGTTGCCCTGTATGGTATATTTCCTCAGCAGTTCTGCCAGCCACATCAGGTCACAGTCACAGAGCAAGGCATTGGAATCCAGTCGCCTGGGAGGAAGCAGATGGAGAAGAAAAAGGGTTGACAGTCCTTCCTGTTTAACCACAGATACAGGAAGGTCATCTGCCAGAGAAGCTAAGAGTAAACTACAGGTCAATCAGGGAAACACCAAGGCCGCTCCCACCACGCTCTCTACATGGGGCTCCCCTTGAGGTGCACCCGGAGGCTCCAACTGGCGCAGAGTGCGGCCGCGCGGGTGGTTATGGGAGCGACATGGCGTTCCCATGTAACACCTCTCCTGCGCGAGCTGCACTGGCTCCCGGTGGTCTTCCGGGTGCACTTCAAGGTTTTGGTTACCACCTTTAGAGCGCTCCATGGCTTAGGGCCTGGTTATCTACGAGACCGCCTACTGCCACCAGTAACCTCCCACCGGCCGGTACGCTCTCATAGAGGGGCTCCTCCGGTGCCGTCGGTCAAACAATGTTGACTGGCGGCCCCCAAGGGGAGAGCCTTTTCTGTGGGGGCACCTGCTATCTGGAATGAGCTCCCCCCGGAGATATGGAGGATCCCGGATCTACGCACCTTCCGCTGCGCTCTTAAAACCTTTTTATTCCATCAAGCTGGCCTGGCCTAATTTTTTCCCTTTTCCCTTTTAAAACACCAATTTTAATTTGTTTTTAATTTATTGGGGTGTTTTTAAATCTGTCTTCGGCCAAATTGTTTAATTCGGTTTTATTCTGTTTTAAATTTTGTATTTATGTGTTTTTATCTTGTGGCTGTTCACCGCCCTGAGTCCTTCGGGAGTAGGGTGGTATACAAATCAAATAAAACAAACAAAACAAACAAACCAACGTTGTCAGGGCAAGCCACTAGGGTATAAAATAAGAGCAAACTCCACTTGGTATTCAGCCGGTTTCAGCTGGTTATATCCGGTTCGAGCAAGCCAGTAGCGGCGGCTGCAGGAGGCTCTGCCCACCCGTCCGGACGTCATCACGTCCTGTTTTTGATACTCTGTGCATGCGCAGAAGATCCTGCGCGTATGCGGTCCCGTTGCGAACTGGTAGTAAAGGTAAGTAGAACCCACCCCTTCATTGTAGCATCACCATAGCCACATGATCCAAATTCGGATCCTTGGCAACTGGTTCATATTTGTGATGGTTGCAGGGTCCCGGGGTCACAAAAGTGATCCCCTTTTGTGACCTTTTGACCAGCAGAGTCAAGGGCGGGGCAGCCAGATTCGCTTAAGAGCCCTGTTACTAATTTAACAGCTGCAATGATTCACTTAACAACTGTGGCAAAAAACGTTGCAAAATGAGGCAAAATTCACTTAACAAATGTCTTGCTTAGTAATGGAAATGGGGGGGGGGTCAGTTGTGGTCATAAGTCGAGGACTAACTGTAAAAATACAGGAGGGGAGAGAATTCTCTTCTTGTAACCTTAAAATAAAGGTAGTGTAAGTACCCATAGTTTGGGTTTTTTGTCTGGACTACCTCGAGAAGGGCTGACAGAACGCAAGTGTGGGACACCAAGGAGGCTGTAGTAAGCCAATGGTGAGAGGACTCCAAAATGAAACTCCATTCCTCTTTGCTGCCTTAAGGAAAGGTAAAGGTTCCCCTCGCACACATGTGCTAGTCATTCCCGACTCTAGGGGGTGGTGCTCATCTCCGCTTCAAAGCCGAAGAGCCAGCGCTGTCCGAAGACATCTCTGTGGTTATGTGGCCGGCATGATTCAACGCCAAAGGCGCATGGAACGCTGTTCCCTTCCCACCAAAGGTGGTCCCTATTTTTCTACTTCCATTTTTTATGCGCTTTCAAACTACTAGGTTGGCAGAAGCTGGGACAAGTCACGGGAGCCCACCCCGTTACGCGACACTAGGGATTCGAACCGCTGAACTGCCGACCTTTCAATCGACAAGTTCAGCATCTTAGCCACTGAGCCACCCTTTTAAAAAATATTTATATATATATTTAAGAAACCTGCATCCATTTGCGAGATGTTTCCCCACTATGTTCTCCTCCTTGGGAAAAAAAAATTCCAAATTTCCATATCTTTCTTTGTGAAATCAAAACAAATAGCTGGGGTAGGTGGGGGGAGGAGCACAAAATTGGCACAGCGCTAGAAGTCTGATCAATGCCTGGATCAGAGATTGTTTGAGTTAGTCAACGTTTCTCTGCCATTTGTCTCTTAGGACGTTGCCTGCACAAATATTTATTTTTAGACAATTCTCTGAGGCAAACATGCCATTTTCCGCTCTTTTTATTGAAGCACAATTCTTTTCCGAAATCCGAAAAGCGTTTCAAAAATGCTTTCAAAGAGGTTTTGGCTAAGCAGCCACACAGCTCAACCAGCAACGTTGGTTTATATAGATTGCTTCACGGATCACGTAAACAAATTACGTGATCAAGCTGGATCACGTAAACAAATAAGAAGGAATGTCCTTTTGAATAGCCGGAGGATCTGACACAAGATCACGTTTTAAATGCTTCCTCAGCCGAGGCTTACAGAGAGTCCTCGACTTAACGACTGTAACAGAATTTCCATCCTAAGTCATGATGGTCATAAGCTGAGGCAGCCACATGACTGACTTAGTTTGATGACTTTTTGTGGCGGTTTTATGGCAGCACAGTCGTAAAGCGAATATGGTGGTCATTGAAGAAATAAATGCGTGCCTTTGTGGGATTTTGGTGGAAAAATGGTTAGTTTCCAGCAAAAGAATGTCGCAAATCATGTCATGTGACAGCAAAATGCTGCACCGGTTGCTAAGCAACCAAAATATGGTCATGTGACCATGGAGACCGGTACTGTCATTGGAACTCTGGAACTAAGTCATAAGTATCTTTTGGGGGTTCATTGTAACTTTGAATGGTCACTGGCTGGTCATTAATGACTGGTGAGGATTAAGTAAGGACTATTAGAACTTAATAATTCATATTTCATATTTGTTGGATAGTCATTAGGGGTGTGTGAGTTCAGTTTCAGTCTGGGGAATTCTGGGAGTTGAAGTCCACACAGGTTCAAGGGTGTGGATTTCATTGAAGACATGAAAGCAGAATTCCAGTATTTGAGGGGGCTGCCACAAAGAAGAGGGAGCCAAACTATTCTCCAAAGCAACTGAGGGCAGGACAAGAAGCAATGGATGGAAACTAACCAAGAAGAGAAGCAACCTAGAACTAAGGAGAAATTTCCTGACAGTTAGAACAAGTCATCAGCGGAACACCTTGCCTCCAGAAGTTGTGGATGCTCCAACACTCTTGAGTTTTTAAGAAGAGATTGGACAGTCACTTGTCTCAAATGGTATAGGCCGATCTCCTGTTTGAGCAGTGGGTTGGACTAGAAGGCCTCCAAGTTCCCTTCCAGCTCTATACTGATTCTGATTAAAGTTGCCATGCTTGAGAAACACAGATTTGCACCAATATGTTTCCTGCCTCTATGATGCACTGAGTCAGAGGGGGGGGGCGTCACATAATGTAACAACCGGTTCGCCCAGCACCAAAAATGTGAGTTCCGTGCATGCATGCAGTTTCAGAAACACAGCAATATAGGACGGGATAGCGCCAGTTGCAACTACCAGTTCGCCTGAACTTCAGCTGCAGCAGCAGGTGTGAAATCCAGCAAGTTCTGACAGGTTCTGGAGAACGAGTAGCGGAAATTTTGACCAGTTCAGAGAACCAGCAAATACTACCTCTGGCTGGCCCCAGAGTGGGGTGGGAATGAAGATTTTGCAGTATCCTTCCCCTGCTATGCCCACCAAGCCACACCCACAGAACCTGTAGTAAAAAAATTTGGATTTCACCACTGGGCAGCAGCTTACCTCTGCACTGAGTTAAAAATATAGGGCTTATTGTGACTTTATTATAACCTCAAGGAGCAAAATCCAGCAGCCTCAAAGTGGCCTTTTTCCTGAACAAAATAATGTTATTTTCGAATTGTCCAATGGAGATGAGGGGGTGAGAACCCTAAGAAAGCTTTGTTGGAAAGCTTTCCAACACTGGCTAGGGGTAGCCAGTTATCTGGTCTTTTGGAAGGTTACAGCCAGTCGTATTTATTGGGGAGCAAACCACTGGATTGCGGAAGAAGGATTTTTCCTGATTCTTAGATTAAAAAAAACAGGATGGTGAATAATTTCCAGTACAGGTAGTCCTCGCCTTACAACCATTCATTTAGTGACTGTTTGAACACCACTGAAAAAAGTATGAACCTTTTTCACACTTATGACTATTGCAGCATCCCCGAGGGTCACAGGATCAAAATTCAGACAACTTGGTAACTGACTCGCATTTATGACGGTTCCAGTTTCCCCTGGATCATGTGCTCACCTTTTGCAACTTTCCGACAATCAAAGTCAATAGGGAAGCCACTTAGGAACCATGTTACGCTAACTTAACCACTGGAGTGATTCACCGTGGCAAGAAAGGTCGCAAAATGGGGTAAAACCACAGGTGAAATCCAGCAGGTTCTGACAGGTTCTGGAGAACCGGTAGCGGAAATTTTTAGTATTTCGGAGAACCGGCAAATACCACCTCTGGCTGGCCCCAGAGTGGAGTGGGAATGGAGATTTTGCAATATCCTTCCCCCAGGAGTGGGGAGGGAATGGAGATTTTGCAATATCTTCTCCCAGGAATGGTGAGGGAATGGGGATTTTGCAGTATCCCTCCCCTGGAGTGGGGTAGGAATGGAGATTTTGCACTATCCTTCCCCCAGGAGTGGGGAGGGAATGGGGGATTTTGCAGTATCCTTCCCCTGTAGTGGGATGGGAATGGAGATTTTGCAGTATCCTTCCCCCAGGAGTGGGGAGGGAATGGAGATTTTGCAATATCTTTCTCCCAGGAATGGCGAGGGAATGGGGATTTTGCAGTATCCCTCCCCTGGAGTGGGGTAGGAATGGAGATTTTGCACTATCCTTCCCCCAGGAGTGGGGAGGGAATGGGGGATTTTGCAGTATCCTTCCCCTGTAGTGGGATGGGAATGGAGATTTTGCAGTATCCTTCCCCCAGGAGTGGGGAGGGAATGGAGATTTTGCAATATCCTTCCCCTGGAGTGGGGTAGGAATGGAGATTTTGCAGTATCCTTCCCCCAGGAGTGGGGTAGGAATGGAGATTTTGCAGTATCCTTCCCCCAGGAGTGGAGAGGGAATGGAGATTTTGCAATATCCTTCCCCCAGGAGTCGGGAGGGAATGGAGGATTTTGCAGTATCCTTCCCCTGCCACACCCATCAAGCCATACCACACCACGCCCACCAAGCCATGCCCACAGAACCGGTAATAAAAAAAATTGGATTTCACCTCTGGGTAAAACTCACTTAACAACTTCCTTGCTTGAGCTTGAATAGAAATTTTGGGGCTCATTTACGGTTGTAAGTTGAGAACTACCTGTAATACCTGCTGTTTACTTACAGGCGTTTGAGAGATTCGAGCTGAGCTATAGCTCCTCGCTGGATCTGCGAAATTCGGTTGTTGTTCAAGAATCTGTGTTGGAGACAACAAAGAGAACATGCTTGAGTGACCGTCAAAGACTTGGGGATTAAAGGTACGCCCATGTAGGTGAGTGTTGGTGGGTCTTCTCTAAGCTAGATCTCTACATAGCTCATACTATGTAGCTCTGAAGCTCTGAAATTAATGCTGCAAAAACATTCTCACAATAGTGGCTCCTACATACAAAAGCAACAAATAAAGGGGAGAGGTTGACTGGGGATTCCAGGCATATATGAAAAGAGAAGAAGGTCAAAGAACACCAGGCACACCCAGAAGAAGAGAGAAAGACAACATCAAAGACACACCACAACAACTTCAGTTAACCATGGTTGAGGCTGCCAGAAGAGTATGGAGCAGAATTTTGTATCTCCCTCAGGATGAGGAGGAGGAGAAGAGAAGGAGGAGAAGGAAGAAAAAAAGAAGAAAGGAGGAGGAAGGAACAGGAGGAGGAGGAGGAGGAGAAAGAAGAAGAAGAGGAAGAAAAGGAAGAGGAAGAGGAGGAGAAGGAAAAAGGAAGAAGGGAGAAGAAGGAAGAAGGAACGAGGAGGAGGAGGCAAGGAGAGGAGGAGGAGGAAAAGGAAGAAACAAGAAGAAAGGAAGCAACAGGAGGAGGAAGAGGAGGAGGAGAAAGAGGAAGAAGAGGAAGAAAAGGAAGAGGAAGAGGAGAAGAAGGAAAAAGGAAGAAGGGAGGAGGAAGAGGAAGAGGAGAGGAAGAGGAGAAGGAGGAAGGAGAAGAGGAGAAGGAGGAGAAGAGAGGAGAAGGAAGAAGGAAGGAAGAAGGAAGGAGGAGGAGAGGAGAAGGAAGAAGAAACAAGAAGAAAGGAGGAGGAAGGAACAGGAGGAGGAAGAGGAGGAGGAGAAAGAGGAGGAAGAGGAAGAAAAGGAAGAGGAAGATGAGAAAGAGAAGGAAAAAGGGAGGAGGGAGGAGGAAGAGGAAGAGGGAGGAGGAGAAGGAAAAAGGAAGAAAGGAGGAAGAGGAAGAAGGGAGAAGAAGGAGGAAGAAGAAGAGGAGAAGGAGGAGAAGAAAGGAGAAGAAGGAAGGAAGTAGAACAAGAGGAGGAGGAAAAGAGGAGGAGGAGGAAGAAGAAGAGGATGAGAAGAAGGAAAAAGGAAGGAAGCAGAAGGAGGAGAAACAGGAGGAGGAGAAGGAGGAAGAAGAGGAGGAAGAGGAGGAGGAACAGGAAGAGGAAGAGGAAGAAAAGTTGCTCCTGCTTCAAGCTGAGCCAAAAATGGTCTCAGCTGCAGAAGGGCCATGAAAGACCCTGGGCATTTGGAGGGATCCTGGAGCGGTGCCACCACGATTAACAGAAGGTCCCTTACACGTATGGTGTAAAACAAGTACTATATTGGCGTTCATTTCATTTTTGGCACTGTGGGGTACAAGGAAACAAGGCTTCCTGTTGTAAAATGTTGTACAAACCGTATCAGTTGGGCTTTACTGCAGAAATCATTACTAATAATCTAGATTTCAGGGCACCTGGTGAACCAGGCCATTGGCTGCCTTGTTAAAAATCAGAATTTCTTTTGGAATTCATGAATACATGAAATCTGCATGGGCAATTTCCAATTTGTTGTCAATCACTTCACGACTTACAGTCTTTCCAGCTTGGGTAGGTCATTAAAAGTTCCCACTTCCAAACTTTCAAGGTTGTTAAAATGCAGGTAGCTGGTATGAAAAAAAGGGATAAAAAACAAAGAAACAGGACAGATAATTAATTTCCAAAGTTAGGCTGCTTACTAAACCACAAGCTATTTATTTATTTATTTATTTACATTTCATCTTTCTTAACTACCCCCTCTCCCTTGGAGTGGGGATCTGGAGTGGCGTACAATATACAGATAGTCCTCGACTTAACAACGGTTCATTTAGTGACCAATTGAAGTTACAACGGCATTGAAAATGTACGATCGTTTGTTTTTTTTCACACTTAAAACTGTCGCAATAACCTCATGGTCACATGATCAAAATTCAGACGCTTGGCAACTGGCTCTTATTTATGACGGTTGCAGTGTCCCAGGATCACATGTGGTCCCATTTTGCGACCTTCTGATCAGCAAAGTCAATGGAGAAGCCAGATTCACTTAACAACGGTGTTGTTAACTTAACAATTTGCTTAGCAAGAAAGGTCGTAAAATGGGAAAAAAAATTTCACTTAACAGTTGTCTCACTTAGCAATGGTAACTTTGGACTTAATTGTGGTTGTAAATCAAGGACTATCTGCATATGGTTGGTTGGAAACTTAATTGGCAACAAGAAAGTCAGAAATTCAAAGCTTTCTCTACTGGTGTAAAAACCCCTTCCTCAAAACAATTTCTCCCTGTCATGTTGCTACTACAAACCCTGAAAAAAAAAACCAATTGTTTTCTAGCCTCCAATAACTATAAGTTCAGGCTGTCATTTATTATTCTTTCTCTCTTTCCCTGTTGCCTAATTATCCCAGACAGATTCCTTCGATTCCAACACAATTGTTTAGTTTTTCTAGCCAGGAATGTAACACATCCAGCATTCTGGAGTTTTCTCAGCCCTTCCGATGCATTTGGACATGTGGTAAAGTATTTTAAACCGGATGAGACCGATTAGAATGACCGTTCATCGCAGGTTGAGTTGGATGTGTGATAAGAGAGCTGCCGAGCATGACTCACAAACGGGTGGAGGGATTTAGGAAAAACAGCAAGATCGGCACAAGCGTTTTTCCAGAATCTGATCACCATCCAAAAAGATATTTGAGCCTCCCATTAAGTGGCTCAGTTTTACAAGATGGATTTGGAGCAAAGGGAAGGAGTCTCTCTTAGGATCCGAATCAAAAGCTGTTCCTACAACTGAAAACCAAAAATATCAGAATAGAATAACAGAGTTGGAAGGCACCTCGGTTGTTAAGGGAATCTGGCTTCCCCACTGACTTCTTGAAGGTCGCAAAAGGGCACGCGGCCCTCCCGAGCTCCGTTTTCACTGGCAGAGGGTTGCCGGAGGCTGTCACAGCTGGAAACGGAGCTTGGGAGCCCGTTTGAACTGGTAGAGCACTCGGGCTGCCACAGGCAACCCCGACATGAGTGACATCCAGAGGTGGTATTCAGCCAGTTCGGACATGTTCAGGTGGACCGGTAGTGGCGACCTGTGGGTGGGCCTGCCCACCCGCCCGGGTGCAATCCCGTCCTATATGGCTGTGGTTTTGATGCTGCACGCATGTGCGCCAGCAAATTGCCGTCTTTTGTGATGCCGCACGCATGTGCGGATGGCATGCATGCATATTTCCGGTGCTGACCAAACCGGGTGCTACAGTATGTGAATCCCATGTCTGATGACATCGAGCGAGCCATGCCCGCTCTGGCCACACAGAACCCACCCCCCACCCCCCCAAGGTCAGACACAACCCTGCTGCGGTCCTCAATGAAATTGAGTTTGACACCCCTGCAGTAGGTGAAATACTACCGGTTCACTCCGGTTCGGGAGAACCGGTAGTGATAAAAACTACCAGTTCAGGCGAACCGGTAGTTAAAAAAAGCTACCAGTTCAGGAAAATCTGTACTTAGTTACCAGTTTGGTTGTTCCAACAGTTTAAAAAGCTACCAGTTCGGGCGAACTGGTAGTTAAAAAAAGCTACTGGTTCCTCCGAACCGGTATTTCCGATGATCAGCTGTGCTGCGCGGTTGATATTAGCTAGAAAGCAAGAAATCCTGCTTTCTAGCAAAGCTAAATCGCTCGGCACAGCTGATCCCCCCCCTCGTTGTTCTACTTACCTTCCCAAGCCTCCCTTTGGCATGTACCGCACATGTGTGCACTGTGCATGCAGCATGCATTTGGCACGCAACGCACATGCGCGGCCAGCAAACCAGTAGCAAACCGGTTGAGATTTCACCAGAGGGCCTGCTCTAAAGAGAGGAGACGAGATGAGGGGTAGGTCTCTGCCTTTTTTGCAAAAACAAAAAATACAACCTTTGGTGCTGTTTTATCTTCTCGCAACTAACTCTTGCCAAGACTCACGGTCATCTTGGCAAGCCAAGCTTTTTTTTTTTTTTTAGAACAACTTGCATTTGTTGTTTTTGGGAGGGAGGGAGGCAGGAGAGGTGGGGTTTTGCAATGGCCAAAAAACCCAGAGAGGAAATTCCATCGGTCTCTGTGCAATTTCTAACGTAAAGTTTGGCTCCAACTTACAGCTGTTCCAGAGAATGCAGCCCCTCGAAAGCCTGGCTCTGAATGCTTTGGATTTCGTTCTTGTAAAGGTAACTTGGAAAAGAGAGAGAGAGAGAGAGAGAAAGGGAAGAATTAGGATGGGGAAATCTTGGGTGGTGTAAACAATATTGTCTGGGTGTATGCAAGTCTTTAAACTAAGGGCGTCACACTCAAGGCCTGGGGGGGGGCTGGATCCGGCCTGCAGGATGCTTAGATCTGGCCCACGGGACCGCCCTGGAAAAAGTGAAGGACTGGCCCACAGTGCCTCTGTCAGCGAAAACGGAGCTTGGGAGGGCTGGGTGTGGCCCTCCTGACCTCCGTTTTAGCTGGCAGAGGGTTGCAGGAGTCCATTGCAGCCGAAAACGGAGCTCAAGATCCTGTTTTCACTGGCAGAGCGCTCGGGCCACCAAAACCACAAGCCGACATGACTGACGTCGAGTGGGCCACGCCCTCCCTGGCCTTCCCACCCCAGCCCCCCCAAGGTCAAACACAACCCTGATGTGGCCCTCAATGAAATCGAATTTGACACCCTTGCTTTAAACAGACACCCAAAGGGTTTTCATGTCAAAGGTGGAACTAGAACTCACAGTCTCCTGGCGACTGGCTCAAAGTCACCCAAGGGGTTTTCATGTCAAAGGTGGTACTAGAACTCACAGTCTCCTGGCGACTGGCTCAAAGTCACCCAAGGGGTTTTCATGTCAAAGGTGGAACTAGAAATCACAGTCTCCTGGCGACTGGCTCAAAGTCACCCAAAGGGTTTTCATGTCAAAGGTGGAACTAGAAATCACAGTCTCCTGGTGCCCACCTCAAAGTCACCCAAGGGGTTTTCATGTCAAAGGTGGTACTAGAACTCACAGTCTCCTGGCGACTGGCTCAAAGTCACCCAGGGGGTTTTCATGTCAAAGGTGGAACTAGAACTCACAGTCTCCTGGCGACTGGCTCAAAGTCACCCAGGGGTTTTCATGCCTAAGGTAGAACTAGAACTCACAGTCTCCTGAAGACTGGCTCAAAGTCACCCAGGGGTTTTCAGGTCTAAGGTGGAACTAGAACTCACAGTCTCCTGGTGACTGGCTCAAAGTCACCCGGCGGTTTTACTGTTTAAGGTGATACTAGAACTCACAGTCTCCTGGTGACTGGCTCAAAGTCACCCGGCGGTTTTACTGTTTAAGGTGGTACTAGAACTCACAGTCTCCTGGTGACTGGCTCAAAGTCACCCAGGAGGTTTTCATGTCTAAGGCGGAACTAGAACTCACAGTGTCCTGGTGACTGGCTCAAAGTCACCCAAGGGGTTTTCATGTCAAAGGTGGTACTAGAACTCACAGTCTCCTGGCGACTGGCTCAAAGTCACCCAGGGGGTTTTCATGTCAAAGGTGGAACTAGAACTCACAGTCTCCTGGCGACTGGCTCAAAGTCACCCAGGGGGTTTTCATGCCTAAGGTAGAACTAGAACTCACAGTCTCCTGAAGACTGGCTCAAAGTCACCCAGGGGGTTTTCATGTCTAAGGTGGAACTAGAACTCACAGTCTCCTGGTGACTGGCTCAAAGTCACCCGGCGGTTTTACTGTTTAAGGTGATACTAGAACTCACAGTCTCCTGGTGACTGGCTCAAAGTCACCCGCGGTTTTACTGTTTAAGGTGGTACTAGAACTCACAGTCTCCTGGTGACTGGCTCAAAGTCACCCAGGAGGTTTTCATGTCTAAGGCGGAACTAGAACTCACAGTGTCCTGGTGACTGGCTCAAAGTCACCCAGCCAAATTTCATGCCTAATGTGGGACTAGAACTCACCAGCACTCACTCAGCCAACCTTCATGCCTAACACTTGACTAGAACTCACCATCTCCTGGCGATTGGCCCAGTTGGCTGGGGAATTCTAGGAGTTGAAGTCCACCCATCTTTAAAGCTGCCAAGTTTGAGAAACATTGATTTTTTTTAGAGCAGGTCAGAAACTGTAGAGAAGTCAATACTCACAGGTATTTCAACTTCTTAAGCCCTTCAAAGGAGTTTCGTGCTATGTGCTTCAGTAAGTTGTTGTTCAAAAGCCTGGAAGGGAGCAAAAGAGGTAGATCAAAGCAATGGCCGAATACATTATTTGGAGATGTCGTGCTGAGTTCTGATGTTTTCCGCGTGAACTGATTATCATCCATTTGCTCATCCAAGGATTATTCGAAGACTTCAGAAGTCATACAATCAACTATGAGAACCCAGCAGATTGATTAATAAAAGGTGAGTTTCACATTTAACCATCCCCCAATTTATTGGGAATAGGGGAAAAAAAAAACCAAACCAAGAGGTGATCTTTATTCAAACTCTTTTAACTCCTGGAGGAGAAAAAATAGGATGTAAATTTTAACAAAACAGCAACAGTAAAGTCTGGAATTAACTCCATCCATCAGGCAGCATAGCTCTAGTCCCCTGACAGTGACATGGCCTGGGGAGTCTTTGGTGTTCTCTGAGCTTGGTTGTTTTGTTTGCATTCAGACATTCAGTGAGAACAATTAACCAGTGGAACAACTGGCCTCCAGAAGTTGTGAGTGCTCCAACACTGAAAAGTTTTGAAGAAGAGATTGGATAACCATTCGTCTGAAATGCTATAGGGCAGTGATGGCTAACCCTTTTGCCATTGCGTGCCAAAAGCGGGGGGAGTGCGGGGTAGTTGCGTGCGTGCATGCCCACACTCATAATTCTATGTGCCCTGCCCTCCCCATGCATGCACCCCGTGCTCCACCCACTTTTGGCATATGATGGCACGGTGGGCTCGGTAGGCCCATTTTTCGCCCTCCCCAGGCTCCAGAGGCTTTCTAGAAGCCTGGGGAGGGCAAAAACAGCCTTCCCCACCATCACCAACGCGGAGGCCCTCCAGAGGCCGGAAACAGCCCATTTGCTGACTTCCAGTGGGCCCAGAAGGCCCAAAAATCAGCTGACCAGCACGTGCATGCGTGCTGGAGCTCAGCTAGGGCAACGCTCAAGTGCTCACCAATATGGCTCCACGTGCCACCTGTGGCACGTGTGCCATAGGTTCACCATCATGGCTATAGAGCCATGATGGTGAACCTGTGGGCACGCGAGCGTTGCCGTAGCTCAGCTCCAGCGCACCAACTGATTTTCGGGCCTTTTGGGTTCACTAGAAGTCGGGAAACGGGCCGTTTTGCGCCTCCGAAGGGCCTACGGGGGGTGGGGGAGACTGTTTTCAATCTCCCCAGGCTCCAAGAAAGCCTCTGGAGCCTGGAGAGGGCGAAAAATGGGCCTTCTGGGCCCACCAGTAACCTTTTTGCTTTCGCATGCCAAAAGCATGGGGAGTGTGGAGGGGGGGCATGTGTGCATGCGCCGGGACGCAGGGCACGGGGGACATTGGGTGTGGGCACGCCTGCGTGCGACCCTCCCATGCTCGGCATGCGACGGCAAAAAGATTAGCCATCAGTATAGGGTTTCCTGCTTGAGCAGGAGGTTGGGCCAGAAGATTTCCAAGGTCCCTTTCTTCTCTTCTCTTCTCTTCTCTTCTCTTCTCTTCTCTTCTCTTCTCTTCTCTTCTCCTCTCCTCTCCTCTCCTCTCCCCTCTTCCCCAACTAAGTAATGTCATCAGTGCTAGAAGGGAGGGGGGTTTGCTCTTTAGTAGTTTTACACATCGTCTCCACCAGCCAACACCCAGATAAACAGGATTAACACCAGACAAACGATTGAGCAGAAACCACTACCCTAAAGTCAAGGAACACCAAGGAGAAAGCCACAGCCTTACCAAGAATGTGATGGGAAGTTGCTATATACAAACAGGAAAGAAACCTCACTCCCTTCTAGCACTGATGCCATTACCTAGATTGGGCGATGAAACGTCTGCTCAAAAGACAACCAAGCTCACAGAGCACCAAGGGTACCACAATCCTCCCCCCCCTCTTCACAAATCTCACTACCTTATAGGGCTGATGATGTTACCTATCTGGGTAATGAAATGTCTGCAAGAAAACAACCAAGCTCGGAGACAGCCAAGGACCCCACAGTCCTCCTCCTCCATGGTGATGTTACCTATTTCGGTAAGGAAATGTCTGCAAAAAAACAACAAAGCTGAGAGAGCGGCAATTCCTGGTCAACTCTGAGCTACAGACATTCTCTTCTACCTGCTTTGAAGTGATGCCTCTTCTGTCTAAAGAGGCAAAAATATTTTTTCAGGTAGACTAAAAAATTGATGCAAAAGCCTTTTCCTCCCTCTGTGGCTGGGACATGGAGAAGTCCCAGGCTCCAGATCAGGGGTGAAATGCTACCAGTTCGCTCCGATTCAGGCGAATCGGTAGTGATAAAAACTACCGGTTCAGGTGAACTGGTAGTAAAAAAAAAAAGCTACCAGTTCAGTTGAACCGATAGTTTAAAAAAGCTGGGCCGCATGATCAGCTGGGCCGCACAGTTTAGCTTTGCTAGAAATCAGGAAATCCTGCTTTCTAGCGAAGTTAAATCATGCAGCACAGCTGATCCTCCCTCTTGCTGTTCTACTTACCTTCCCAAGCCTCCTTTTGGGGCGTGATATGTGCACGCCCATGCGCACTACGCACCAAAAGGAGGCTTGGGAAGGTAAGTAGAACAGCGGGAGGAGGGGAGGTCAGCTGTGCCGCGCGATTTAACTTTGCTAGAAGGCAGGATTTCCTGCTTTTTAGCAAAGCTAAACCGTGCGGCACAGCTGATCCCCCTCCCTCGCTGTTCTACTTACTTTCCCAAGCCTCCTTTTGGAGCGTACTGTTCACATGCGTGCACAGTGCCTGTGTAGTGCGCACTTATGCACGGCCAGCGAGCCAGTAGCAAACCGGTTCAGATTTCACCACTGCTCCAGATGAAGGAAGTTCTCCTCTAGCAGCGATCTTCAAGGGATATGTTGGCTTTGTGTGCAAATAGTCCTTGACTTACAACAGTTCATTTAGTGACCATTCCAAGTTACAATGGCACACTGAAAAAAAGTGATCGATGACCATTTTTCACACTTATGACCATTGCAGCATCCTCATGGTCACTGGATAAATTCAGATGCTTGACAACCGACTCACCTTTATGACGGTCGCAGTGTCCTGGCTCTCCTGTGATCCGATTTTGCGACCTCCGGACAAGCAAAGTCAATGGGGAAGCCAGATTCCCTTAGCAATCATGTTACCAACTTAACAACTGCAGTGACTCACTTAACTCAGTGGTGGCAAGGAAGGTCGTAAAATGGGGCAAAACTCATTTAACAACTGTCTCGCTTAGCAATGGAAATCTGGGATCTCCGCTGTGGTCGTAAGTCAGGGACAACCTGTATTTTGAGCAATGCTTTGGACGGCGAACGAGGGGTTATTCAGCCCTATCACAATGATTCATAACAAACCCTCAAAGGGCCGGAAAAGAGATTCTGGAGTGAAGTTTCCACAATCTGCAATTTCCTGAGAGTTTCAGTTTTAGGTCTCCACTTGGAACATCTGCAGATGGTTGCCATGGCCTCCATAAACAGCACCGGTCAAACACATCTGGATGAGCAGCCAAAAGATTTGGCCGTCTGCGTTTTGGCGCCGGTGAGAACAAGCTGCGGTCTGTTTCCACGGAAGGATTTGCGTCCAGCAGCATCCGTCAACGTCGCCAGCGTTGGTGATAAGCTTCTTGGCCTGGATTTCCTTGAACCGATCCAGGTTTTTTCCACCCTCCTCCTCACTTTCTTCGGTTCTAATCAGGCTTGGATCCCGAGATGGAATTGGCTCCTTTTTTTTTTTTTTAATTGCTTGGCTGTTTTTTGCGGCTTTAGAAAAATCATTTCGGTGTAGCGGTAGGAAAAGGAACCTGGAATTTCCATCATTATCTCATGATGGCCATAAGTGAGGCACCCTCAAGACCAGAGGTCTTCAAACTTGGCAGCTTTAAGACTTGTGGACTTCAACTGCCAGAATTCTCCAGCCAGCACAGCTGGCTGGAGAATTCTGGGAGTTGAAGTCCACAAGTCTTAAAGCTGCCAAGTTTGAAGACCTCTGCTCAAGACTGACTTGTTTTCACAGTATGTTTGCAGTGGTCGTTAAGCGAGCATGGCAGTTGTTCAGCGAATCCATGGCCTACAATGGGCGTTTTTGTTTTTATTTTGCTAGAAAATGGAAGTTCACTTCGTTTGGCGTTGGCTGCAACTTCAGATATTGCCCTGTTTCTTTGAGTTGTTCTATGCTCCGACTGGTGTCAGCTTTGATAGTGTCCATCCACCACGTTCTTTGTTGACATGGTTTCCTTTTACTACTAACTCTTCCAAACATCAATTGAGTTCTCCAGTGGATTTGATATGGCCAAAGAAGTGAGACAGTTACGTGATTTTGCCTTCTAGTGCAGAGATGGCTAACTTTTTTGTCGACACGTGCCAAAAGTGCCCCCCCGTGCACAATGGCGTGTGCGCATGGCCACACCCATAATGCAATGCACGTGTGACACTCCCCCTCACGTGCCCCACCCACCCCCACTCATCCATGCATAACCCCCGTGCTCAAGGGTAAAATGCTTCCGGGTCGGACCGGATCACCCGATCCGGTAGCGATGGCAGCGGGTGGTTCAGAGAACCGGTAGCAAAAATCCCTGCACCCCCCCCCCCCACGCCCAGCTGAGCTGCACGATCATCAGAGGCTTTTTTTTTTTTACTTTTAAAAGCATTTTTTCTACAACCTCTTCCGACGAAAAAATGCTTTTAAAAGTTTTAAAAAAAACCTCTGATGATCGTGCGGCTCAGCTGGGATCGTCAGAGGCTTTTCAAAGCATTTTTTCCTGCAACCTCTTGGCCGAAGAGGTGGTAAAAAAAATGCTTTGAAAGGTCTCTGACGATCCCAGCTGAGTTGCCTGATCGGCAGAGGCTTTTCAAAACATTAGAAAAAAATGCTTTGAAAAGTTAAAAAAAAAAAAAAAGTTGGCCACGCCCACCCAGTCACATTACCCACCACCACCAAGCCACGCCCACAGAACTGGTAGTAACAGATTTTACATTTCACCCCTGCCCGTGCTCCCTCCACCCGCCCATGCATGCGCACAAGACCCTCCCGCACTCCCACCCCCTTGAGCTTCCCCCGCCCCCTGCGTATGCGCGGCAGGGACCTGAAAATCAGCTGGCCGGCAGGAGGCGAATGCGCATGTACAGTGGAGCTGAGCTGGGGCGACGGCTCAGGTGCCATCAGAGAGGGCACTGCGTGCCACCTCTGGCACACATGCCATAGGTTCACCATCACGAGTCTAGTGAGTGGCTGGAGTTATGCGCTCCAATACAATTTGCTTGTTAGTCACCTCTACTGTCCAAGGATGAAGGTGACCAGTGTTTTCTCCCGCGGCTGGCTGTCAGGAAAGGCAAGCACCCAAAAGTTACCAGAGTCACTCACTCTCCTTCTTGAATGAGCCGCCACCATCGCCGCTCTGGTCCATGCACCAGCTGCACAAGTGCACACCCTTTATTTAATTCACTCATCAGCGGCAGGTTGGATGTGCGCTTGTGCAGCCGGCGCGTGGACCAGAGCGGCTCATTCAAGAAGGAGAGTGAGCGACTCCGGTAACTTTCGGGCGCTTGCCTTCCCTGACAGCCAGCCATGGGAGAAACGTGAGCAGTAGGATACACCGCGTGGCGAAGGGTGAGCAAGCAGCGGCTCCGCGGCAAGGCCAGAGTCAGGGAATGGTGCATTCCCCGACTCCGGAGAATGGGGCGGGTGGTCGGAGCCGCGGGAGAAAGGTAAGGACACACCACTTGGCGATGAGAGAGAGCGGGCAGCGGCTCCGGGGCAAGGCTGGTATCGGGGAATGGTGCATTCCCCGACCTGGTTGAGGCAGGCGGCGGCTCCAGGGCCCCAGGAAATGGCACATCCCTGGCCCCCAACCCAAAGCAAAGAGAGAGCAGGTGGCGAGTGTGTGGCAGGATAGAAATTTAAAAAGTTTTCCTACTGGGTTCTGTGGGTGTGGCTTGGTGGGTGGGTGGGGGTCTTGTTACTGAGTGGGCATGGCTGTGAGTGACATCGAGTTGGCCACGCCCACTCAGCCACAGGACACCCACACACACCAAGCCACGCCCACAGAACCGGTAGGGAAAAATTTTAGATTTCACCCCTGCTGCAACCCCCACTCCCTTCTAGCACTGATGAAGTTACCTAGCTGGGTAACGAAACATCGGTAAGAAAACAACCGAGCTCAGGGAGCACCAAGAGCCTCTATTGTTTCGGTCCTCTACAACAGTCCCAGTTTTTCTCATGTGGGCCCTGGAGAAAATTAATTGCCCGCCTCTTGTCCTACATATCTCAAGGCTTCCTAGAAACCGATGAAGTTCTGAAGCCCAACTCATGAGCTACGACCTCCTGGCCTGCAATAAAACACAACCCTGTCCAAACAAAACAGAGCAGGTGGTCCTGCCTGCCCAATCTGAGCCAACAAAGCAAGCTACCTTGAAACTCATCCAGCAGACCGTGACCTAATTTAAGTATCGTGCCCCAGCCAAGAAAATCAAAACCATCCATTGCTCAGCGGGGTTATTTCTGCCAGGTTAGGCAAAAAAAAAACCAGCTTGTGGCTTTTTCCATTTTAGGTAAAAGCAGGTGAAACAAGCAGGGAGCCCACGAGCAACTTACAGCGTGTCGAGATTCTTCAGATTCCTGAAGACACCTGGCTCGATGCTTTTGATGCGGTTGAAGCGCAGATCCCTGGAAAGAATGAGAAAAAGGGTTAGTTAGTCCATCACCCGTGCGTGCTTGGCTCCCCCCGGTCATCCCGATAATTGACTTTTTGGTAGGTCTGTAGGACATGCTGAGCTAAGAAGCTCAGCTAACAATTGCACACACCTGTCTTATTCCTCCTAAGGCAGCGGTGTCAAACTCAAGGCCCGCGGGCCAGATCCAGCCTGTGATGTGGTTGGATCTGGTCCATGGGGCTGGCCAGGAAAATGTAAAGGCGTGTGGCACTCATCAGGGCCACGCTCCGGAAAAGCTGAACTTCTGGGTTCTAGCATGCATGAGTGCCTGACGATCAGTGGCTGGCACACATGCGCAGGCCGGTTTCAGCACTGCCACATGCGCAAAGGATAGCTGATCGTCGCACGCACGCCAGAAATCCGGAAGACAAACAGGCAAGGTTATGTGTGCTGGGCGACATGGCTTCGCATGCCGCCTTGGGCACGCGTGCCATAGGTTTACCCTGACGGATCTGGACCAGTGGTGAAATCCAATTTTTTTTACTACCAGTACTGTGGGCGTGGCTTGGTGGGTGCGGCAGGGGAAAGATACTGCAAAATCCCCATTCCCTCCCCACTCCTGGGGGAAGGATACTGCAAAATCCCCATTCCCTCCCCACTCCAGGGGGAAGGATATTGCAAAATCCCCATCCCCACCCCACTCCTGGGGGAAGGATATTGCAAAATCCCATTCCCTCCCCACTCCAGGGGAAGGATACTGCAAAACCCATTCCCATCCCACTCCTGGGGGAAGGATACTGCAAAATCCCCATTCCCTCCCCACTCCTGGGGGAAGGATATTGCAAAATCCCCATTCCCTCCCCACTCCAGGGGAAGGATACTGCAAAATCCCCATTCCCTCCCCACTCCTGGGGGAAGGATACTGCAAAATCCCGATCCCCATTCCACTCCTGGGGGAAGGATATTGCAAAATCCCATTTCCTCCCACTCCAGGGGGAAGGATACTGCAAAATCCCCATTCCCTCCCCACTCCTGGGGGAAGGATATTGCAAAATCCCATTCCCTCCCCACTCCTGGGGGAAGAATACTGCAAAATCCCCATCCCCACCCCTCTCCTGGGGGAAGGATATTGCAAAATCCCCATTCCCATCCCACTCCTGGGGGAAAGGATATTGCAAAATCCCCATTCCCATCCCACTCCAGCAGAAGGATATTGCAAAATCCCCATCCCCACCCCACCCCTGAGGGAAGGATATTGCAAAATCCCCATTCCCTCCCCACTCCTGGGGGAAGGATATTGCAAAATCCCCATTCCCTCCCCTCTCCTGGGGCCAGCCAGAGGTGGTATTTGCCGGTTCTCCGAACTGCTCAAGATTTCCGCTACCACCCTATGATCGGAGTTTCTATTTTAACTTGGCACTCCAAGCGCCTGTGAGTTAGAGTTAAAAGCGTTTATAAAAATTCTTGATGGAAATAAAAGTCAGCACCAGGGTGACCTCTTAAATGGAATGGGAGTCGCCTGTAGGTAAATGCAAAACGAGTCTCACCACATATAGAAAGAGAAGAATTCCTTCAGCGTTTTCTCCAGCAACAACATGAAATTGTGAAGCTTTGGAAGTGTTTTTGTAAAAATAAATAAATAGGGTATTGCAAGACAAATAGGCATTTTTCAAAACACATGCTTTTCTGTCAAACTGGATGAGAACCTGTAAGGGGAGGGAAAGAGCAAGAAGAAGGTGCAAGATGCTCTTGGCATCTTGAAAATGTTTGGACTTCAGCTCCCAGAATTCTCCATGCTGCCTGGGGAATTCTGGGGGCTGAAGTCCACAGACCTTAAAGTTGCCAAGGTTAAGAAACACTGCAGTAGATTCCATACTGAGCAGGGAGGAAACTTCCCAGCTGCCTTCCAAATCTATAAGGCCATGGATTTGTCTGGCAGAGCTGAAATGGGTCTGGCAGAACAAGGAAAATGTGAGCTGAAAACTTGTCCGCATCCAGCTGTTATTTCTTTCCGTAATTAATGAGTGCGTAAAACTTTCCCCAGCCTTGTCAGTTCGATCTGTTTTCTTGCTGGGAGGCACACCTGGCAATCCTACAGACTTCGTGAAGTGCAATCCTAATGCAATCCTTGGTTGCATAAACAGAGGGATAGAGTCAAGATCGTGCGAAGTTATGAGTACTGCTTTATAACAAACTTAGTTAAGATCACATTTGGAATATTGCATCCAGTTTTGGCCGCTCACCACATTATAAAAAAAGAGGTTGAGACTCTGGAAAGAGTGCAGAGAAGAGCAACTGAGATGGCTAAGGGCCTGGAGACTAAAACATACCTAAGAACAGTTGCAGGAATTGGATATGGTTAGTCTAGAGAGAAAAGAAGCATTAGGGGTGACATGATAGCAGTATTCCAATATTTGAGAGGTTGCCGCAAAGAAGAGGGAGTCAAATTATTCTCCAAAGTACCAGAAGGCAGGACAAGAAACAAAGGATGGAAACTGATCAAGGAGAGAAGCAACCTGGAATTAAGGAGAAACTGCCTAACCGTGAGGACAATTAACCAGTGGAACAGAAGTTGCCTTCAGAAGTTGTGGGTGCTTCATCACTGGAGGCTTTTAAGAAGGGACTGGACCGACATTTGTCTGAAATGTTATAGAGTCTGATGCTTGAGCAGGGCATTGGACTAGAAGACCTCCGAGGTCCCTTTCGATTCTGTTATTTTGTGTTCTGTATTCTGTTTACTGAAGTGAGGTCCTGAAAACATTTCAGAGGAAGCACAAAGAACAGTAAGCTGATAGGATAAAGGTAGTATCGGAAGTCCTCATTTAGTGACCATAATTGGGACCAGCAATTTGGTTGTTAAACAAAGCACCTGCTAAGTAAAATGTAATGATTTTCTGATCTTTTTTTCAGCTTTCCTTTCTTTTAGAAACCTGCAAAGGTCGTGAGAGGGTAGACTGGTTGCAAAGTTACTTTGTCATCACTAACTGCGAACAGTCGCTAAACGAGATAGTCACTAAATGACTACAGGTAGTCCTGGGGTTATAAAGGCAATTGCGATCCCAATTTTTGGTATCCCAATTTTTGTCACTAAGTGATGTCACATCATGTGACCACACTGTTTAGTGAAGACAATCCCAGAGTTCCAGTTGCTGTCATAACTCCAGGGCCACACAGGTCATTAAGCAGGAAGAGGTGGGAGCCCCAGGCAAGCCCACTGATTGGTGCACAGGTGCCAAAGCCAGGTGCTTTAGAACATGGACAAGTGAAGGGGGATTTTGACAGCAGTCACTTTGGAGGACTACTGGGTGGAATAGCAAGGGATTAGGAGCAGCGTCTGAGTGCCTGCTGGCTTCCCCATTGATTTTGCTTGTGGGAAGCCTGCAGGAAACATTGGAAATTGTGATCATGTGAATGCAAGTTGTGGAAAAATTATAATACCTGGTAACTAAGCAGGCACCGAGTCCCCGGATCATGATTATCTGGCCAGTTAGGCAGTGGTGAGATTCAACATTTTTTACTACTGGTTCTGTGGGTTTGGCTTGGTGGGCGTGGCAGGGGAAGGATACTGTAAAATCTCCATTCCCTCCCCACTTCAGGGGAAGGTTACTGCAAAATCCCCATTTCTTCCTGATCAGCTGGGATTTGGGAGGCAGAGAATAGATGGGGGCAGGGCCAATCAGAATTTTTACTACCGGTTCTCCGAACTACTCAAAATTTCCGCTACCGGTTCTCCAGAACTGGTCAGAACTTGCTGAAACCCACCTCTGCAGTGAGACCATTGTAAAAGCTGCAATTTTATGGACTGACTGTAAATCCCACTCATTCCACACCACTGTAACTTTGAATGGTCGCTAAATGAGTGATCATAACTCAAGGACTATCTGTGCCTGTATTAAAATAGGATTAACGGACACCATCACCCAAATAATGTGATTCACATCATGGCACAACATTGCCCCTCTATACGACTGGGTAGATTTGCCAAGTGAGAGAAACATTAATGACTGGAAATAAATATTCCCAGGGCTGGTTGGATTATATATGGTACATCCCAAGGGTGAAATGTAAAATTTGTTACTACCAGTTCTCTGGGCATGGCTGGTGGTGGTGGTGGTGGTAATTTGACAGGGTAGGCGTGGCCAACTTTTTTTAAAAAAAACTTTTCAAAGCATTTTTTCTAATGCTTTGAAAAGCCTCTGCTGATCAGGCAACTCAGCTGGAATCGTCAGAGACTTTTCAAGGCATTTTTTTACCACCTCTTCGGCCAAGAGGTTGCAGAAAAAAATGCTTTGAAAAGCCTCTGACGATCCCAGCTGAACCACGCAATCATCAGAGGCTTTTTTTTTTTTTACTTTTAAAAGCATTTTTTTTGTCGGAAGCATTTTAAAAAGCATTTAAAAATGCTTTTAAAAGTAAAAAAAAAAAAAGCCTCTGATGATCGTGCGGCTCAGCTGGCATGGTGGGGGAAGCGCAGGAATTTTTGCTACCGGTTCTCCGAACCACCCGCCATCGCTACCGGATCGGGCAATCCGATCCGAACCGGGAGCATTTCACCCCTGGTACATTCTAAATTGCATTCTTGTAACCCAATTAATCTGGTAATAAACTCCTTTTCTAGGTTTGGGCAACCCATTCTCCTTAAATTGAATTAGCAGGCTAGATATGGATGACACTGCCTGCTTCAGATGTCAATCCAGGTTAATCCTAGCCAAAGTCAATACTGTGAAAATATAGCTGTGAGAGGTGAATCATGCTGTTGGAACACAACCATAAAACTGAGATTTAAATAATAATAAAAACCTTCCACCTTTGATCACTTTTCTCTCAGTGCCAATCATAAAATCTCATGGCTAGACAGCTTTATTTTGCCTGACACAACATGGACAGGTGCTGCAAAGTTTTTATTAATCAACAATTGTTACATGAATATCACACAAGTATAACAATGTAAAATGTACTTGAAGGATATAATTGTGATCGCGGCACCAGACAAAAACCGAACACAACTCACTG